AGTGGCTAAGAACTTTCTAAACATAGCAAAAAGAAGAAAGAGGACTGAAGATGTGGCTCAAGTGGTAGACCATTTGCCTAGAAAACATAAGGCCCTGGGTTCAATACCCAGTACTGCAAACAGTGATGTTTTCATGTCCCCAAAAGATAATAATCCAAAGATTAAAATGGGAAAGTATTTGCAACCCATATAACAAAAGAAATTCTTTAATATATAAAAGACTTTGATCTGCAGGAAAGATAATAAGTACTACAATAGAAAATTGGACAAATGTGGATAGAGAACTCACCATGAATATGGAAATGTGATCTTCTTAAAAGTGTCTTCTTATGGAAAAATTCAAACATACACAAAAGTAGAGAGATTGGTTCAATGAACCCTCACCCCCATTTCTAGCTATAGTGGCCATTAACTCCTGGCCCCTCCTGTCTCATCATGACACACTCATTCCTGACTTGCCCCCTCACCATGCCTCATTACAGAGCAAGCCATTCTATGTGTAAATACAACAGAAAGTCTATCTAAGATTATAAAATGCTAGTTTTCCTATTTTATTACCAAAGAGCACTTCATTACAATTAATAACGGTGAGGACCTAGAAAGAGGAAGAAAATGGAAAGAATATAACTCATGCCTGACACTCTCTGAGAAGCTGGAAAGGGAAGTTTGAAAAAGAAAGCAGTATTTTCCATCTTCCTTCAACACGATCACCCACAAGCACTTGAATGCAGAATGTAGAACAAGAACAAAGATGCTATTTGGTAAAAAATTATAAAGTCCAGGAAAAGATTTAGGTTGAGTGGGAGTCAAGAAGGTGTTTGAAATAACATCTGTTTATGGGCATTGCTTGCCTGCTAAGTATTTGTAGTTTAGGGAATGATGCTGTTAGCCTGCAACCTTCTTGAGGACAGCTTCTCTTCTGAGCTAGTGACTTAGGTCACATTAACCCGAGTAATCAACAATGCTGAATGGCTGCTTGACCCTCTCATTCTCTATCACGTGATTGATTGACTCTGAAAGGCTGATTCCCACATCCACTTCTCAGCTCATAGCTCTCTGTGGCTTCGTATGAATGAAATGAACAGCTCTAAGTGAGAAAGGGCGGGGCCTACAGGGTAAATTAGCACATTCTGCAAAGTGTGCCACCTCAGATGGACCAACAGGTTTGTGGCCTGATCATGCTGGTGAGTCTCCTCTTTCACAGGATCAGCCTTGTCACCCTCTTAGCTTGACGGATAGTTGTACTTCAGAGCAGGGAGGAGCTGGTGACTCAACAAGCACGTGGGTGGCTGTACAGGGTATGGTGAAGTCCCTACATGACACACTTCCTTTAAAAGAGTCTGAAAGACTGAGATGGGTTCAGTCCTGTGTGGGCTGCATGTGAGACCCTCTCAAAGGCTGAATCCACAAATGCCACCTGTCAGTCCCGCTGACCTTCCTCATTTCCAGAGTCCTTGTCCACAGCAAGGAAGCTTCCTTTTGTTCAATTAGCCTTGATTATTTAAGCATATGTTAGGGAGTGCCAAGAGGGCATAAGGGCAGAGGGAGTGACAAATACCACTAAGATGAAGTCTTATCCCTTAAGAATTCTTCAATCTAGAAAGGTAGAATGCTTTACCAGTGAGGCAAACTGATTTTTAATATGTGCTATGAGTCAGGCACTGTATTAGGCCCTCAGCATACATCATCTAAGGGCAATTCAAGGTCCAAAGTGCAATTAGAGTTCAGAGAGGTTTGGAGATTTCTTGGAACTGGCACTTGGTATCATTTTATTTGACAAGCTGAATTGATGAACACAATTGCATTAATTGTGTTATGATGATGCATTAATCAAAGTACATGAGGTAAGAAAATAAAGAACATGTTCCAGGAGTGGCAAATATCCCACGTGGGTCTGCAAGCATTTCTTAAAATGCGATAGTGTTACAGGCGCCTATTAATTCCTGCCTCGTCTATCTTCCTGGTCCAGTCTACAATCTTCAGATCCATGTTCATAAAGCCAATATCCCACAAAATCACAACTCTACTGAGGAAGGAAGTCAAGAAGGGCCAGAGGCAGGGAGGGAAAGGGAGCTTTTCAACAAATTCTACTGCCTCCATAATAAAGTCCAAACTCCTTATCACATAAGCCTTGTGCACCTGGCAGTGCCAGCTGGTACATTTCTAGCTTCCTCGCCTGCCACTCTGTCCCCAAAGTGCCTCTGCTTCCTGCACACCAGCCTCCCTCAAACATGATCTGTGATTGATCTGTGCCTTTATTCCTGCCTTTCCTGCTGCCTGAAATGGCCTGGTCTCTACGGAAATCAGTGTAGATTCTGAGGTTCCTTTGATGGCACCTTCCTTAAGACATCCCTAACCACTTCATCAGAATTAAGCATTCTCTCCAGTGGCCATGATGCATCCTGCCTGTATCCTACATTTGTCATGGTTATCATCTGAGATTGGGCCAGGAGTCAGGTGACTTGGTCCAATCCAATCTAGCGCTGCCATACTGGGGAACTCCTGATCTCCCATAGGCTTAGCTTGCTCATTTGTAAAAACAGGACACGTCCCATGTGCCTTACAAAATTCAGTATGATAAAATGCATGTGAAGTACTTTGTAAGCTATTACACATGGCATTTTTCCGATGTTTTAAAAATGTAAAAGGCAAAATTTCTATTCTACTAGAATGCAGGGACCCAGACAGAGAACAGGAATTTCAAAGAGAAAAAACTTTTATTTTAAAGTATTTATGGGAAGAGTTGCAAATAAATATAGAGAATTCGCATGTACTCTTCACCTAAACTCCCCTACTGCTAACATGGGACATTTATGGAAACTAAGAAATTAACATAGCTGTAATACATTAGCCAAACTACAGGCTTTATTTTCATTTTTATCAGTTTCAACTAATGCCCTTCTGCTCCAGATCCAGTCTAGAATCCCATACAGCATTTAATTGCCATGTCTTTTAGTATTCTCCAATCTGTGATGGTTTCTCAATTCTTCCTTGTCTTTTATGACCCTGAAATTTTTGACGAACACAGTTTAGATATTTTGTAGAAGTGGAAGCCCCCCCACCCCCAGTGTGATTTTTTCCTGGTGTTTTCTCATGATTAAACTGAGGTTATAAATTTGGGGAGAAATACCAGAGATAATGTGTCTTTTTCAATGAACCTGAGGGCACATCATATCAACATGACTTATGACTCATTACTGGTAGTAAGGGATTATTATTATTATTATTTGTAGTACAGGGGATTGAATCCAGGGCCTAGCACATGGCTAAGCAAGTGCTCTACCATGTGAGTTATGCCCCTGTCCTTTTGTTTTTATATTTTGTTTCTGAGACAGGGTCTCACTAACTTTGCCTGGACTGACCTTGAGATCAGGATCCTCCTGCCTCTACTTCCTAAGCAGCTAGTGTTACAATGTTACAATGTATACCACTGTGCACATCTAAGAAAGGAATTTTTTGACTGTTCATGTTTATCATCTGAAACAGACTGGCTCATGTTGATGGTCAATGAATCTCAGTGAAATCTTGCAACTATTCTGTCTCTTCTACTGCATTCTAAACTCCTAAATGTCAAGGACCATAGTATTTGTATTTCGTTTCATTAAGTGTTTAGGGATGAAGGAGAAGAGAGCATAGCTCAGAGATAAGAGTGCATGCTTAGCACTCTTGAAAGAATCAAGACCTTTGTTCAATCCCTAGCACAGTGCTAAAATATGTTTAAGGATTGAATTGAAATCAGAATCGGGGCATATTTTCAGACAAAATTGGGTTCATTTCATAGTCTTTTGGGAACCAGTGACTTTTTAAAAGCAAGTCAGTTAAATGGCTTAATAATTATTAACTGCCCTTTTTCTTTTTTGGCAGTACTGGGGTTTGAACTCAGGGTCTCACACCTACTAGGAAGGCATGGTAACACTTGAGCCACACTCCCAGCCCAGTTTTGCTTTACTTACTTTTCTAATAGGGTCTTGAGTTTTTGCCTAGGGTCATCTTTCTTCGGGTGTGTTGAATTTGACTCACAGATAAACCTTCTGAAGGAGATTTCTGGGAGATAGTAATAAATGCTTGGCAGAGGATGGGGTGAGCCTAGGGATCTCTTTGAAGCCATTTCTAATCTACTGACAGCTGAAGCCAAGGAAAGTGATGAGCAGAGATGGTGTAGTGACAGAAGATATCAGACCTGAGGAAATTCTGCAGTTAGAGTAAGATGACACAGTGCAGGTCATTAAGGAAGCAGCACGAGGGCGATTTCAAAAACTGGATCGTTGACCATACCAAGTTAAGGGGGTGGGGGCGAGTATTTAATTATTTAGAAGATGCCAGATGATCGGGAAAATAAGAGAATGAGTGAGAAATAAAACGATGATGTGATTAAACATCTATTTTACTTTCTTTTCGAAGCCTATGAAAAAGGGGATTGTATCAAAAAAGGCTGAGAAACGGTTTTATTTGTTTTTTTCATAATCTTATAAACTCTTATCTTCTCAAGCCACTAACTTTCCTTGTAAATATAACTGGAAAAGGTAACATCCGATCTCACTCCGCAAGATAAGTTCAGGAACCTACTTCCCCACCAAGCTCAAGGGCAGTGGCTGTGCGGCTTATTATACATTAAATATTGGACCCATACAAGTCCGTCCAACCTGCCAAAAACACAGCTGTTGATATCGAGTGTATGGGGGTGGTATATCAGATGCTAACGCGTAACTGAAGCCTAATTTACTGCATCCATCAAATATCGAACTCACAGGAAACCAGCAAACAGAGTATTACTTTCTGCGCTTGCGCTCTGGTTAGCGCTCCAGGCCGCTTCTCTACCGCAGTCCCAAGTAGCAATGCGCCTGCGCCAACCCCAACTTCCGCCCGGCCTGGGTTGGCTTCACTGCTTCCTCTTCCTGTCTCGCGAGGATACGGCTGTAGCTTGTCGCACACTAGGTGACTAAATAGGGCGCGTGCAGATGACAAGGCGGAAATGTTCTGGCCAGAGGCGGGACCACAGCCCAAAGGGGCTTGGTTTTGCGGAAGTTTTTTGAGGAGGGTCGGGTGGCTGGTGGAGTTGTGTTATTTTACAAGTTCCGGAACAGAGGCCGCTGCTCGGGGTCCAGAAGCCGGAGCCTCCGGAGGTTTGTGGCTATAACGCTGGGCGCGATTTGACGTCGCTGCTTTTGGCTCTTTTCGCCCCTCGTTCGTCCCTAGGGAGCCGCCTGTGCTTTCACCATGGCATCTACTGGGTCCAACCTCCAGGTACTCATCTCCCACCCCCTCAAGTGCAGGAGTCCAGGGGAGGCGCGAGAAGCGAGGTGGGGGCGGGGAGGAGGAGGAAGCGGCCGCGCCCCTGGTCGCGCGAGGAGGGCGGGGCCGCGCGGAGCCACAGGTGGGAGTGGGCCCGGGCAGGGGAGGGTCGTCTGGCCCGGGCCCGTGGGTTTGTCGGCCTTGACCTGGTTGGGGCTTTACCGCCTAATGTGAACCAAACTGAGTAGTCTCTCCAATCGGTGCCAGGAAGGAAAAGGAAAAAAGTAGTTTTTACAAAGACTACTCTGGACCAGTTAGAAATAGGGTGGTCCCGCTCTGTCAGATGACTTGGAGTTTAGAGACCGCCCACGTAGCTCCGTGAAGTCATTAGCTTATGTTTTCTTCCAAACTGCAGTATGGCTCCTCTTCGTCACCCCCACCGCAGTGAGCGCAGTGTTTTGGACATAAATCGTAGAATCCTAATATCGTCAGTCTTAGCAAAAGGTCTCTAGTCCTTCGTGGAACGGGATTCTTAGAGAGAGAAAAAACTTAGGTAACAGTGTTTCCCGTCTTCCCGAATGTGTTGATGGTACAAATCACATACCAGGTATGTGTGCCTGGTACAGATACCCAGGATAATGGAAGATCTCCTTAACTAGGATAATTGATCTTGAAGAAAGACCACTCAAAATAGTGGTCTTTCTACTAAGACCATTGCGACTAAACTCACTTCTTACAGGTTATGGCTTGGTTTGTATATAAGATTTTTTTCATAGCCCCATTCAGAAAGAGTTGGGTTTTTTTGTCGTTTTTGTTTTTGTTTTGGCAAAGATAACTTGTAAGAGTACTTGGTGGTGGTATCACCAGTGATTTCTTTTGAAGAACCATCTTGTCATTATTCTTGTTCATTTTTCAGTTAACCAGTTTTGTTCTATCAGCTTTTTATTTGCCGGAGATTTTTGTGTGTGATTTGGGCATTACAACCATGATTTCTACCCATATTCTGATGTCTTCCTTGTGTAGGATTTCAACCCGAAATGGATCGTGTTTGATTTGGGTTGTTGGATGCTCTTCAGTGAATCAGCTAGCGATTGATCAATTAAAGGCATAGTCACTAGTGATAAACAGGAATGATGTTGAGTTATAATTTTATTGGTGGTTGGGTCAGGTGTGCTTTCTCATTCAGCCTTTTCAGCCTTGTACCCTAGGAAGTTTGGATGAAGAATAGTCAAATAGTAACTTTCCCAGTGAACAAAGAAAAAATTCCTATAGCCAAAAGCTTTATCCGTTGGAGGATGCAGGTAACGACAAAGCAGATTATGAAATAATTCCATAACTGCTGTAATAGAATTAGAGGTTAGAGTGGATTGGCAGCAGGAAGGGTGTATCTCACGCTTTCACAGACAAATGAGAAACGTTTCACAGAGGAGGTGATATGATCTCAGATAAAGTGAGCACTAACTGCTAATTGCTCAGTGTTTGGCGATCTCATTAAATCCTCAAAACAACTCTTCAAGGTGACTATTATTCCAGTTTCACAGTTTTCGAACCCTTAGCTTATTAAGGGATGTTATGGTTATGGTGTGCTTAGAGACATGCAGCTAATTAGCATTGAGGTTAGTTTTGAATCCAGATCTATCTGCTTATAAGTCTGTGGATTGTTTTCACTGCAAAATTATGCCTCCTTGAACAAGAACATTGTAAGCTTTCCAGACAGAAAAACAACTCATCCTCAGTCCACAATTGTAAGAAACCTTTCAGGAGGTTGGAGAAAATTGCAACTAATACAGTAAGCAGAACTCAAAGTTTACTCAGTCCTCAATATTTATTGTGTCTGCTATGCCATGCATTATGCTAAGTTCTAGGGAATCATAAATACTACATGTATGTACACCCATGACCTCACATGGCTTATATTCTTAGGTAAAACAGACATATAAAGTGACCAGTAGGATACAGTGCAATCATTGGAGAGTGTACAGGAGGCAGTGGAAATCTAGAGCTAGTATAGTCTGGGCTGCCCCAGGGGTGTTGGAGAGGGCTTTACAGCAGGAGGATCATGACTGTACTGAGTCCTGGAGAAGCTGGAGTTTTTTGGGGAGATATTTGGGTGGAACCTTTTCTGTACACACACACACACACACAGGTATGCCACCTAAGTTGGTCTCGGTTGTGCCAGTAGTTTGGTATGACAGAAACTCAGTGTACAAGATGGAGGCATGAGCCAGAATAGTTAGGCCATATTACCAGGAGCCTAGTATGCCACACACAAATAATGGATCCTCATTCTGCTGTAGATGGGAGTCATAGAGGATTTTAGACATGGAGCAACATGTTCTCACTTTTGTTTTAGAATCAGTGTCATCTGTGCACAGTGAGAAACCTGACTGGTATTAAGCTTGGGTGAAGGGAGACTAGTTATAAGGGAGAGGCCTGTGTAATAGAAGGTGGTTGGCCAAAATAGTATAGTAACTATTTGAATTAGGAAGAAAGGCTTGATCATAGAAAATTTGAAGAATAGTCAGGGTTTTATCTCCAGTTAAAAAGTGAGGGAAGAGTCTGAGCCTGGGTTTTCTACCAAATTTCTAGGTTAGTTATCTGAATGGGTTAGGAATTAGGTCTTGGAATACAAAAAGGGTGTGTTTGGGGAGGAGCAAAATAAACTCAGTTCTGAACTTGTTAAGTTTGAGATTCTTATGGGACAATCAAGTGAGCATTTTGACATACATATGTAGAAGTGGGGTGAGTGGGGCTAGGCTGGAAATAAGGATTTGGGAGTTACTAGCATAATCATGGTAGCAGAGGTTGTGGGCATAGACAGTCCCATTTGGGAGAGTTAACAGAATAAGAAAAAACAAGGACCAGGGACCCTCTGGTATTGATGTTTAAGAAAAGTGTACTAGACTAGGGGTGTGGCTCGCAAATGGTAGAGCACCTACTTTGCAAAGCCCTGAGTTCAAACATGAGTCCCACCAAAAAAAAAAGACATTTTAAAAGCCAGGTGCCGGTGACTTATGCTTATAATCAGGAGGCAGAGATCAGGAGGATCACAGTTTGAAGCCATCCTGGGCAAATAGTTGATGAAACCCTAGCTCAAACATACCAGCACAAAAAAGGGCTGATGGAGCAGCTCAAGTGGTAGAGTGCCTGCCCAGCAAGCATGAGGCCTTTAGTTCAAACCCCAGTACCACAAAAAAAACCCAAAACACTGAAAAGGAATCACTGAACAACCAAGAGTAAAACCAGGAGCAAATGGTGTGATGAAGACCAAAAAAGGAGACACTGTCAGGGTATTTGTTACCAGTGTTAAGTACTGCAGAGAGGGAGTTAGATAAGCATGAGATTTGGAAGTTGTGAGAGAAAGCATTGCCTTGGGAGAGCTAGGAGTCAAGAAACGAAGATGAACTTGGGATTTTACTGCGTCAGTAAAGAGGTGCTAAGAAGACAGCTAGAGAGAAGTCTAAGAGTGAGAGAGAGTTGGACTGTTTTAATTTGGGTTTTGTATCTATGAGTCTGAGATAGAACTTGAACCTATTTTTTTTGGCTGAGCAGGGACCCAACCAAAAAGAGAAAGGTTGGGAGAATAGTACTGTGGCATGTCACTGATAGAGTAAATGTCAGGGAGGTGTGGACAGGCTCCAGAGCATACAGGAAGAATTAGCCTTGGAAGACAGGGCTGGGACATCTTTCCTCCTGACACAGGAGACTGTAGAATTTACATTTCCCTGGGTTTTCTAGGGTGGACACACATGGTCTCCTAATTAAAAAAGGACAATCACAGGGCTTCCCAGCCTTCATACTGTCATATTGATGACTGACCCTGGTGTAATGGGGTCACTCAGTCTTGTGCCAGCCACTGTGCTGACTAACATTGCAAAGGGGAAGACGACAGACATAACTCCTGTCCTTATGGAGCTTACATTCTAGTGGGAAAAGTGTTTTAAAATGGAATGAATTTGGGAGTCATTGAACACATCTCCTGTAGGGAGGGAGTAACAGAAGTGAGCCTGGGCCCAAACACTGAGAAACATAGTTCAGGGTCTCATACAAGGGGGAGAATCCACAAAGCCCACAGGGAATGAGCTGCCTGAGAGATAGGAAGACAGACAGGAAAGTGGTGCTTGGGGGCTCAGCAGAGATTGTGTCAAGAAGAAGGAAATGATGGTCTTTGTAGAATATTGTCAGACGATTAGGATGAAGGTAGCAGAGTTGGTCTTTGGATCTGGCATCATAGAGCGCCTTAATTTGAGTAGTTTTATTAATGTGCTATGATCAGGGGAAAAGAATAGAGGCTGATCCAGTGCTATTTGGTCTCTGAAAAATAGCAGAGAAACTAAGGTGAAGGGTGTTTTGGTATCATAAGAGGCTTTCTGAAGAAGAGCTGTTTGTAGGCTTGTCCAGTGGAGAGAAATTGTTGTTAGAGATGACAGAGGTGGAGTAACCAAAGGGAGAAGATTTTGAGAAAGCAGTAGGGGATTTCTTTTTCACTCATTCAGCAGTTTGATTGAGTACCCGTCATCTGGCAGCAGCATTCTGGTCAGGAGTGCCAGGTGATGTCCTGTGCTCACAACGTACTGTAAAAGGGGGATGGCCAGTGAGTGGGATACAATGACAGGATAAAGATTGCAGGGGTGTGGGAAAAGCTCTGAAACCCAGATGGAGCACAACCTCTGATAGAGCAGAGTAGGGAGGGCCTCTCTGAGAACTTATCAGCTGAGTTAGGTCTGGAACATTCTAGGGGGAGGGATATGCAGTGCTTTGCTGCCTACGTGAAGGAGGACTGGATGGTTTTAGGTGAGATCCAGAAAGCTTTTCCAGTTCAGGAAAGGCTTTGTAGACCATGCTTTGGCATTTTGATTTTATCCAAAAGTTCATTTGCAAATTGTATCATTTGCAGTGGAAAGCCATCAGAAGTTGCTGTGTGTGCTTTGGGATGACAAGGATGAGTGCTACAGACTGGGTAGTTGTTTTTTTGATGGTTTGTTTTTGGTGGTACTGTGGTTTGAATTTAGGACCTTGCTCTTACGAGGCAGGTGCTCTAGGCAGGTGCCATACCTCCAGTCCTTTTTGTTTTAGGGTCTTGCTTTTTGTCTGGCCAGCCTGAGACTTGATCCTCCTACCTATGCTTCCCATGTAGGTAGGATCACGGAGTGCACAATCATATTCAGCTTTTGTTGGGATGGGATGTTGTTGGTAACTTTTTCCCAAGCTAGCCTTGAACCGCTACCCTGCCAATCTCTGTCTCCCAAGTAGCTGGAATTACATGGTAGGTAATAGTTTTGACAAATAGTTTTGACAAATTTGATAGTGCATTAAAATAGGTAGTAGTAATGGAGATGGTAGGATTGTGTTCCAAAGGAATAATTAGCTCATTGAAACCATAGAAAACATAGTTAATTTCATTTCATTGAAAAACCAAAGGTGAAATGTGACACTCATCAGATAAATAATTTTTTTTTTTTTTTGTGGAACTAGAGTTTGAACTCAAGGCTTCGTGCTTGCAAAGCAGGCACTTTCCCATTTGAGCCACACCTGTCCATTTTGCTCTGGTTATTTTTTGGAGATGGGGTCTCACTAACTATTTGCCTGAACTGGCCTCGAACTGCAATCCTCCCTAGTTCCTAGTTCAGCTTCCCAAGTAGCCGTGATTACAGGTGTGAGCCACTGGTGCCTTGCTAGAAAATCAAGTTCTTAAAGGTTTGAAGTGAACCAGTACTGTTTTGTCTATTTAAATTCAAACTCAATAAAAATTCTTTGGTCACACTAATCACATTTCAAGTACTCAAAAGCCGTATGTGGCTGGTGGCTTCCATATTGGACAGTATAGACACATACATTTTTCATCTTTGAAAAAAGGCTGGTTCAGACTATGTAATTAGTACAGTATTTGCAGCCAGATGGCTCAATATTGACTATCAGAGTCCTGCTTTAAGTCAATCGTGGTGGTTCATAGCTGTAATCCTAGATACTGAAGAGGCTGAGGCTCTCTTGAGATGACCCCCTTTCAGTCTATTTAAAGTATATTCCTTTCGTAATAAACTTTATTGTCACTTTCACTATAAATAAAAAGTTTTACTATAACAGATATCAGACTGGGGATGTAGCTTACTGGTGGAGTGCTTGTCTAGCATTTACAAGGACCAGCACCACAAAAAAAAAAAAAGAGAGAGAGACAAATCTAAGTGCTTACTGTGAATGATTGGCTGAAGAAGCATAGCTTTTTAAAATCATCTAAGAAGAAAATTCTAGTCAGAATAAGAAAAGACTTTATTTCTACTGTGCGGCTTAATCGTTGAGCCTTTTTGTGTGCATTTTTATGTGGCCAGTCTCACCTAAGCACCAGTTGACCACATGCCAACTCCACAGTTTATATTCTGTGAGCTTCTTACAAAACGTGAAAATTTGTCTTTGCTGTCAGGCTAGCTGAGCTGTGAAACATGAAGCTACTACATTTTATCAATTCTAAAACAACACTATCTTCCTTTCCTCCTACTATAACAGAATAATTGTGGTCCTCCATTGGGGCCTTTCTTCCCATTTACAGATTTCATCCTGTCTACATCCCATCCGTGAGCAACTGCTTCAAAGTATGTTCTTTCATATGATTGGTTTTAGGGTGATTTGGATGCTCTTTATCTTAATTATCTGCTTATTTTTAATATAGCCTAACCATGATTGTTTTCTTTTTTGTTGGCTATTTCTGTTGAATCCAGTTTCACTATCTAGATTAACCCAGTTGAAACATTTTAATGAATCATGTTTATTCTTTATTTGTATGTATCTGTGTATTTTTTTAAATTATAGTTTTGAATGAAATCTTATTTTGAGATATTTATAGACTCACACACAGTTACTTGTTAAGAAATAATACAGAGAATCCAGTGTGCCCTTCACCCAGCTGTGCCTTGTAAAACGCGTACAGTAATATAACCAGGATGTTGACATTGAGACATTCTGCAGATATTTCCCAATTTCACTTGTACTCAAGTTGTGTGTGCATGTTTTTGTTCAGTTTTATCAGTGTAGGCTTGTGTGTCCACCACCCAGACAAGAGCAGTTCTATTCACAAAGATCCCTGCTGTTGCCCTTTTACAACCACCCTTTTTCTACCTACCATTACTATTCCTTGGCAAAACTAACGTATCTCTGATTTTGTTATTTTGAGAGTGATATATAAATGGAATCATAATATGCAATTTTGGGGAATTATCTTTTTTTAATCAGCATAGTTACCTCAAGATTCATCCAGGTTTTTTTGTTTGTTTTGTTTTTTTCCTGATGAGATTGGGTTTGAACTCAAGGCTTAATGCTTGCAAAGCAGGTGCTTTATTGCTTGAGCCATGCCTTCAGTCCTGTTGGCCCTGGTTATTTTGAAGTGGGATCTTGTGTGATTAGTTGGCTTGTGCTGTCCTGGAACTACCATCCTTCTGATCTCAGCCTGCCCAAGTGGCTAGGATTATAGGTGTGAGCCATCAGCGCCCGGCTAAGATTCAAATTTTGTATTGCAGTAGTTCATTCCTTTCTGTTGCTCAGTAGTACTTCATAGTATTAATATACCACAATTAGGTTAACCATGCAACCATTGAAGGTTATTTGAAGCAATCACACATGTTTCAGGTTTTTCTGTGACATAAGACTTCATTTTTCTGGGATAAGTGTTCAGAAACACAGTTGCTTGTTTATATGGTAGCTGCATGTTTAGTTTTGTAAATAAAATTAAACCAGCCAGTTTTCCAGGGTGACTGTTCATTTTACATCCCACCAGTATCTGAGTGATCCAGTTTTTTGCATCCTCACCACTAGGTGATGTTCTCACTGTTTTAGAGTTCTGATAGGTGTGTGATCCTGCTCATTGTGGTTATAATTTGCATTTCCCTAATGGCTAATGATGGTAATTAAGCATCTTTTCATGTGGTGAGATGTCTGTTCTTGTCAATTGTCCCTTTCCTAATTAGTTTCCTTTTTAACTGTTGTGTTTAGCCCTTTCTGTATTCATTAGTCTTTTGACTAATAGTGTGTTTTGCAAGTTTTTCTGCCAGTCTGTAGCTTACCTTTTCATCCTTTTAACAGGATCTTTTTGAGACCAAAAGTTTTCAGTTTGACCAGGTTCAGTTTATCAGTTTTTTCCCTTTTATGTTTTGTGCTTAATGATGTCAAATATTAGAACTCTTTGCCTAACCTTGGATCCTGAAGATTTTCCATGTTTTTTCTAAAAGTTTTGTATTTAACTCTGTAATCCACTTTTGGGTTAATTTTTGCAGAAAGCATGAGATTTAAGTTGAGGTTGCTTTTTTTTTTTCTTCTGGCTATCCAGTTGCTACAGCACCATTTCTTTAAAAGCCTGACCTTCCATGATTGACTTGCCTTTGTCTCATTTTAAAATGTCACCTGAGTATATTTGTCTGGATCTTATTTCTGGAAAGTTTTTCTTTAATATTACAAAAGTAGTTCATATTCACTAAGAGTATTTTAGAAGATTTGAAAAAGTAGAAAATGAAAAATCAGTAAAGTTATAGTTATCAAAGATAAACTCTGATAAATTTCCTTCCCATCTTTTTCCTGTGCTGTTGTTTGTTTTGCTGTTACTTTAATAGTTGAACTTGACATAAAAGGTTATATCCTGCTTTTTAAAAAACAGCTATCATAAACACTTTTGATGTTATTACAACTGTTTCTCAATATTATTTTAATGATCTTTTAGTATTCTGTGGTGTGAACCCTTTTGCTGTTCCAGGTTTCCAGGTTTTCTGTTATTTAAATGACCTCTCTGATTCATGTCTTCTTTTTCTCAGTTAACTTTAAAGTTAATTAGTTATTTGGTTAAAAGTTTGGGGTATTTTTCAGATATCTGGTACTTCATTACCCCATTGCTTCTGAAGCAGTTTTATCAAATTTACATTTCTACTGTTGGTACATGCTTTAGAAATAGCAGCACTTAATTTTTGAGAATTTCCATAACTACTTTGTAAATGTAAATAGTCACATTAGTCACTTATTTTTCATTAGGCCTGTATTTGTCTTTAGTGAAAAATTCTGTGAAAATTTTAGTGATTGGTACTAGATAAAGTAAAGATTCGGATAATATTTATCCATATAACAAGTAATTTACATTTTATAAAGCTGTAATGTATAATAAAGTGAAGTTGTGATCTTTTAAAAGATGGTTTGTTTTAAGGTTGATTATTTTAAAATGCTTTTGAGTAAAATGATTTACTTCCAACTTACATTTGTGCTTTGACTTTAATGTTACTTTTTGCCTTTCTTAAACAGAAAGCAATAGATCTTGCTAGCAAAGCAGCACAGGAAGACAAAGCCAGGAACTATGAGGAAGCCCTTCAGCTCTACCAGCATGCTGTACAGTATTTTCTCCATGTAGTTAAATGTAAGGTCATAATTTATTTTAAAACAGTAAAAGAAAAAAGTATTCTGCTTCAGTTATAAAAATTGAAATATAAAGCCAGGAAAATTCTATGCCATCCAATTACAAAAAAAGAGAAAAAAAAAATCTCACTTTCCATCTAGTAACTTTTAAGTATTCTCACTTAACTAACAATGTGACAGCTATTATAGTTATTACTTGTATAGCCAAAAATCCCATAGTCGATAAAGGATAACTTTTATTTTGTGAATAATTCACCCAAATTGTGTAATCTGAACTTACTCATTTTAAAGCAGATATTTGAAAATAATTGTTTTAAAAATAGGTTAGGAGACAGTGGTATTTTTACAGCTAGATATGGCATGTTTGCTGTGTGCCAGGCACTGCTCTGGACACTGTTGTACGAGTGAGAAAAGTGAATAAAAACCTGCACTCATGGATTTTTTTTTTCTTCTTATACTGGAGTTTGAACTCAGGGCTTCGTTCTTGCTAGGCAGGCTCTCTATCACTTGAGTCAGGCCTGCAGCCCTCTTTCCTCTGGTTATTTTGAGATTGGATCTCACTTTTTGCCTGGGCTGCCCTAGACCTTAATCCTCCTATTTCATCCTTCCCACCTAGCTGGGATGATGGGCATGTTCTGCCAAGCTCCAGCTTTTTCTCCTGGGATGGGGTCTCATAAACTTTTTTGCTTGGGCTGACCTGGGGTCATTGTCCTCACAGTCTTAGCCTCCCAAGTAGCTAGGATTACAGGCTTGAGCCACCACGCCCAGCATTATTGTGTATTTTACACTTGGGGTTCAGGGTTTTCTTTGAAGCATGCCCATTTAAGGGAAAGGGGAGAGTTCATGTCATATTTGAGTGAAAGTAAAAATGAATTATAATAAACAAATACATAAAGTTAATCTTACGCTTGTATGTGTCACTGAAGTCCACTTTTGAAAGTAGTCCTGACAGAGGCCTATATGTAGTAAAATTACTATGTTGGTGGTACATTTAACATGTGAGAGCTCCGTCACTTTGTATACTCTGAAATAAAGCTATGCAGACATTAATGAAAATGTTTACTGTAATATTGCTTCTTTTTTATATTTTATTTTATTTTTAATGCATATTATAAATACACATTAAACCCCATTGGAGTTGAGTGTAATATTTTAGCATGTGCATACGGTGAACTGATCAAATTCAGCCTCCCTTTATCTCCCCCCATTTCCCAACCTCTGGTAATCACTATTCTGAATTCGGATTGTCTTTCATGTAATTTGTTTTACATTGTCAAAATGTAAGAAAAGAGTATGGAACTTAACAGAATATTAAATAACTTATTATTATTTAACATTAACTTAAAATACATACTGTCCTGCTCAGGTCTTTTTTGGGTCAAACCTGCTCACAGTCTCCAGTTGTGTGGGGAAAGAAATAAAAAGAGTTGCTAATCATTGATTACAATGAATTAGAGATGATCTTTCCTCTTCCTACAACATAGGACTTCTTTGTTTAAAACACTAAGTCTCAAGAGTCTGAGCCTTCCTACATAGAGCACTAATGGCCTCTTACTCCCTCCAACAGATGAAGCACAAGGCGATAAAGCCAAGCAGAGTATCAGGGCCAAGTGTGCAGAGTATCTTGACAGAGCAGAAAAACTAAAGGAGTATCTGAAGAAAAAGGAGAAAAAACCACAAAAGCCAGTGAAAGAGGGTCAGCCAAGTCCAGCTGATGAGAAGGGGTATGTGTTTAAGTGTTAAATTTTATTGTATCTTTTAACTTTTTATTTGTGAAATACATTTCTTTTGTTTAAACCAGGTGTTAGCAAACCATGAGTCATGGAGCAAAGTGGACCTGTGGCCTGTTTTTGTCAGTAAGTTTTGTTGGGACAGAGCCTCACCTGTTCATTTACATTTGTTGCCCAAGGCTACTGTCATAGTATATCAATATGTTGAATGGTTGCAATAAAAACCATATGCCCACAAAACCTGGGATATTTACTGTCTGGTCCTTCACAGACCAAAGTTTGCCAATTCCTGGTTTTTCAGTAGGAGATTACATACCTCAAGTAACCCTTCCTGACTGCTTGCTAGTAGTAGAGGAAAAGACTTTCAGGAATGGTATTGACTCACCCCTGACTGCTGTGTAATACTGAGAGTTAAAGTTATTGATGTGCTCTGTGAATTAAACCTTTGCCCTTGTGGACAAAATGAAAAATAACTACAACAATGTAAATATTTTTTGGATATCTTATGCAAAGCTTTTTAATGTGGATTTTGCATTAGATACACATTTATAAACACTGAAACCAATTTTTGAGTGTCTTCTTAGAGGGGACATATAGCCCTTCAGGTGCAGAATTCATTTATTCCACATATATATGCCCAGTTCTACTAAGCATGGGGAACATAGTGCTCACCAGATCCTCTTTGATCATTTTATGAATTGGTGCCAAAGGTGGTTCCAGACAACATACACCTAGGAAACAAGAGACTTTATCCTGGGGTGATCTGACCTGGTTGGGCTTGAAGGCAATGAGATTAGGGGAGCTTTAGAGGGTGTGATACAGTTCATGTTCAGTGTGGCACAAGTTCCTTAGCTGATCCTTTGTGGTCAGGAGGAGTGAAGTGCCTTTTAGATAGTGCTTTGGGAGCTTTGAAAGACATGAGGAATACAAGAACTAGAGTTGACTGCCTGCTTCAAAGTACATGGTAGAGTTTAAAGAAAGTTATAAGCTCAAGATTTTATATTCTCTGTTCAAGCTATGGTTAGGGAACCAGGGAGTTTCTGTGATGCCCCAAGAATAGTTTATCTTCTGCACCTACAGCACTGACATGACAAATGACAGTCAAATATTGTGGATTATTGAATTTCCATATAGGATATTTAGTATAAGAGGAACTCCCAATGTGAAATGAAATTATTAGGGAAGAATTAAGTTGACCATAAGTGCCTGGGGCCTCCAAACCTCACGTAAGACTCCCTTGCCAGCAGAAACAGTCTGTCTTCCCCCAACTGTTAGGACTTTGCAGTCTTGTGTAACAACCCTGTAATAGCTCTCCTGTGATGATTACCTGACAGTTTTCCTCCTGTACTGACTAACAGTCTTGGTTACAAATAGCAGGACTCACATTGGCTAAGTTAAACAAAAAGAATTTTCTTACATGGATTACCTTTCAGAATTTTGAGGCCAGAGAATCAAACTTGGATTCCATATCACTAGGAGAAATGCCCAGTATACCATGTGGGGACCTGCAGTTGAAAGCTAATACATATGTGTTATGTCATGTCCAAGTAGGAATCCCACTGCTGCCAGCCTCCCTGCCAAGCACTCTCCAGACTCAGAAGTGCATGGTGAGACCTGCACAACTCCCTCAGGTTTCTCTGAAGAACTTGAATCTCCTGTGGTGTCACACCTGCAAGGGAGCCTATAGAGGGCAGGTTTTTATAACTACAGACTTTATTTATTTATTTGGCCGGGATAGGATACTGGGGTTTGAGCTCAGGGCTTTGCTTTTGCCAGGCAGGTGCTCTACTTCTTGAGCCATACCTATCCAGTCCTAGTACTGGAGCTTCTATTGAAGGAGGTTGGAGTGAGTGTCAAGTGAGTCAGCTTCTTGGTTTCTACCATCCTGTAATAATTAGGGCCATCCCATTTTGACAGTAAACATGTCAAGCTTTTTATCCCCTTTTATATCTTATATTTTTTAAATAATATAATGCCATATGTTTTGCTTTGTCACCTCTTCATTCAACATTCTATCAGAAACATCTTTCCAGTGAACTGTTTCTGCAACATCTATTTTAAAAGTTGCTCTTTATTCTATCATAAGCTAATGCCTTTAAATTGAATGTTAGCTACTTCTGTTTTTTTTTTTCCTCACAGTTGCAGTATGGATGTGATTATTCTTATAGTAAAATCCTTAATTTCATTTTAAATTATTTCCTCAGATCTAGATTCCTAAAATGCTGAGTAGGCCATTGTTCTTTGACCTTGGTTCACTTTCATCAGAAAGTATCCTTTGGAACCCTCAGACTGAGGGTTATTGACTTTTTTGTACAACAGTATGCTGGATTTTTCCTCCACTATGAATTCTTGTTCTAAGTTATATTTTGCCTTATCGTGGTGTTTTTATTGTTGTTCACAATTCTCCTGTAATTCATCTTAAATCATTCATGCAGCAATGTGTGGAGTATGCATTTATGAATTCACACACACATTGGTATGTCATGGGAATTTGGAGCTAGTTGACTTCATCCTGGTCTTTTTGTCCTTTGCCTATTCATGATTCCCTATTAACTGACAATGTGCTTGGCTTCCTATTTTAACACATTCTTAAAAGTAATAAAATAAGCATACCCTTTCATGTAAATGTCTTATCTTGCTGCTTAATTTACATTCATTTTTGCATTATTTGATACCAGTAAGCCTTCATTTGAACATATTAAATTCTTTTTATTAGGAATGACAGTGATGGGGAAGGAGAATCTGATGATCCTGAAAAAAAGAAACTACAGAATCAACTTCAAGGTTGCTCTAGATTTAATTTTTTAATTTGTGATTTTATTTGAAAAGATTCATGGTGGATTGTCTATTTGAATTTTTTTTTCTTTTTCTCTATATTTAAATGAGGTTCAAAACCTAACTTTGGTTCCCAGTGGTCACATGCTGGCTTTGTTTAATGTGATTTCATAAGAGTTTCCTCTCAAGGGTTTCTATAGTTTGTGCTTTTTTCATGGAGTAAAAATAGTTTTGCTTTTATATCTGCTTGTAAAACTCTTTCATTTTATTTGCCCACTCATCGACAAGGTAGTGTTTATACCATTAATGCTTTACAAAATCGGATGGTATTAAAGCATATTATTGTCAGAGGAGCAGAATGGGTTGGGAATTACACTTGATTTGTATTTCTGTTGCTGTGGCTATTAGTTGATTCATGTTCTACCTGCTCCTCCCATCTGCTTTTCAGTGTTCTCATATATGTTATGTCTTTATTTTTATTCTCTTTTCTCTTTTAGCTTTCTGTTTTTGCCTGTCACATCTGTAAAAGCCCTGCAATTCTACTCTATAGTATAGTGACATAGTGGCGAGGGCATAGATTCAGCTCTGGACTCCACTCCAAGGTCTCCCGTTTAAATGTTTTCCAGTCCTGGGCAAGTTCCCTCACCTCCTACAGTCTCTAAAATGGAAATTCATAGGATCTTCCTTTCAAGAAGGAACATATAATAACAGCATAATAACTTCCTTAGCATTGTATCTGACAAGTTCTAGAGAATTGATAAATAGTAGCTCTGTGTATCTACAAAGGCATCTGTTTAAATACTGGCTTTTAAAATTACTGAGATGTGATTGTTCTTTGATATGTTAGCTAATGGTTTTTCAGATAAACCTTATACTTAGTCATTGGTAATACATATTTGTTCATTTGAATCTTACCAAATGGAATACTTAACTGGGAAGGATTCCCAGTTCAGCTGTGGTTATTTATAGCGACTATACCGGACTTCACGAGACCTTTAACCTTGCTGTGCCAATCTCTTCCTTTTGGTAATGTTTGCCACTGGGATGTATGAGCACTATAAAGATGGAATCTTGAAAACAGTACAATTAATGAGGATAGAGAACAGTTTTATACACCAAGAACTTCAGATAGATAATAGTCTTAAGGGCAAAAACTTGAGTTCTACTGCAGAGTCCCCACTGCCTTGAAGGGGTGTTGCACATACTGTTCACTCTGAGTATTCATCAGGTAACCCAGTGGTCCATGCAGAGTGGCTTCCTCCTGTTGTAAGGCAAAAGCTATTTCTGTCTGCCTCTCTGGTTTTGGTTTAGTTTCTCTTCTCTTTTCCCCATTTCTTCCCACCACTCATTCCCCCACCAGCCAAGTGAAAATTGCCTTTTCTATTCAACTTTAAATAAGATATAACCAATTTTTTTGGTTATATGTGTGGTACTGGGGTTTTAAAGTCAAGGCTTCATGCTTGCTAGGCAGGTGCTACACCACTTGAGCCAGCCCTTTTTTATGTTTGGTAGTTTTGAGATAGGGTCTTGAAAACTCTTTGCCAGGGCCAGCTTTGAACTGTGATCCTCCTGATCTCTGCCTCCTGAGCAGCTAGGATTGCAGGCATGAGCCACCTAACCAGTTAGTTTTTAATAAAGATTTTTATGAATTCCCTGTCAATTTCTAAGGACCAGAGATATTTAAAAAAATTACAAGTGATTTAAGCATTAAGTGAGGAAATGTATTTGTTTCAGGATGAAATAGAACCTGAAAGGAGTTCTAGCCTTTCATATGAGTTTTTCCCATCTTTTAACTTAGTGGTTTGCTAAGGGACTTCATAGTTTAATTTCCTTTTTTAAATCATTCCTTTTTCCAGTGACTTGAGGTTGAATGATGTTTTACTATAATACATAGTATAATTAAAGATCAGACAAATTTATATAATTAGAATTACAGTTGTTTTATTTTTCAGTGATCCCATCTCACCTTTGTAATTTTACAAATCATTTTAAGTAATGTCTAGTATTTATTCTTTCATTACTAAACAGTCCATAGTCATCTTTAAACTTTAAGGAGAAAAGTATTAGTTAAATGTGAAAATAAGCTGTGTATCTTTTAATTGCATAAAAATCTTGAGTTAGCCAGATGACACACGTATATAAACTTACTTTCATGTGACTGACATGAAATCTTAGCATATGATATGGATATTTTTTCCTGTAAGATTACTAATTTTAATAGAACATTAAAAAGAGAAAATGCAAATTGACTTTTTTATACTAGAGTGAACTTTTAAGATGTAAAATATTTATGCTTTTGTTTAATTTTAGTATGATAAGTAAAGATTTTCCTAATTTAGGAAAGTAAGTTGTTGAGTATAATTAGTCTTAAGAAAATAAGTGCTACTTCCTAATCAGAAGAAATGACTTATAAAGCTAATTTCAAAACCAGTAAATTGTGTAAATAGTGTTGTTTTATTATACTTAAAACAATTACATGTCATCTTAGAATAAGCTGCTTAGTAGCTTATAGTTGAACAATTTCTGTATGCTAGAAAATTGGAAAAGCTTTTGATGAAAAATAACTAGAAAACTTTTCTAATAAATTACAGAAGCCTTCTTGGACTATTACTGCAACATTTGCTATGGCTTTTGAATCTACTGCACTCAGAAACTCATTCATTCATTTAAGTAACTTTGTTAATTTGCAAAAGTTATAAATGAGTCTGTTTAGAAGCCAAATAAAACATTTGGCAGATCTTAGGAAATTGCTGTAAATCTACAAGGATGCACTTCCTCTTTTCTGTCATTTGCTTCTGCTTCCATTCCCATTCCTTTCTCCTTTCGCTTTTCTTCCCTCAGTCTTAAGTTCCAGTTGTTGAGCATATTTTCTGTCTGGTTGAGGAGAGCATTAGATCACCTTTTTTTTGGTTAACAGGAAAAAAACAGTAAATCAGCTGCCATTAAACAAGTACACTTGATGGTGCAGATCCAGTGTATTCAAATACTGTAGCCACTTCATGAAATGTTCCTGCTTGACCGAGCACTCTAATATTCATTACGCCACCTGATCCTTACAGTAGTCTGTGTAAGTGATGTGGCCAGATGGTGGTATTATTTTCATTTTGCAAATAAGGAAGCAGAAATACAAATGCTGAATGTCCTCCTACCCTAGGTTGCCTAGCCACCCAGCTAGGTTCCTGACTCTGACTACTTCACACCATTACTTCCTCATTTCTAAAAGGTTTTTAGTACAGAAAACTTCCAAAAAAGTTTGTAAAGCATTTAACATTCTTATTTCATGTGGCTTTCTAATTTTGATAAAGTAGTCTTCCTTAATTTAAAGATTGACATAATTTTTTGTAGGTGCCATTGTTATAGAGAGACCAAATGTGAAATGGAGTGATGTTGCTGGTCTTGAAGGAGCCAAAGAAGCACTTAAAGAGGCGGTGATATTGCCTATTAAATTTCCTCATCTTTTTACGGGTAAGATGACTTTTAAATAATTTCATTTGAAGATTCTTGTAAAATGCATCAATGACTAAGGTAAAGCATTGTAAATTCTTTTCACCATATCGTGAATTGTCTTAAATTTTGACAGTTATAGGAATGATATATCTTTATGCAAAGAAGTTTCATTTCCTGTACGTATCTACATTTGCAATATATATTGTAAAACAACCTAAATGTCAGCCAGTAGGGCATAAAGTAAATCACTGACATGTGGTAGAATGCTATGCATTTATTAAAATACAGCTCATATCTACATTAATTATATAATTTATTGAAGAATTCCTACATCTCTTATAAAGATCAGAAAGGAAGTCAAGAATGTAAATAGTATGATTCCATGTTTGTTAAATAAATGGGTGTGCTGAGAAGTAAGTGTAGATGGATTGACTTAAAAATGTTAATGTGTGGGCTAGAGGTGTGGCTCAAGTGGTAGAGTACCTGCCTAGCAATCATGAGGCTCTGAGTTCAAACCCCAGTGCCACCAAAAAAAAAAAAAGGCCATGTGTGCCTAAGGAATATGATCATAGGTCGTTCTTTCTTCTTTTGACTTTCATCTGAATTTTTGCAATAGTCATGTATTAGTTTTTCAAGAGTATTTCTTAAAAAGAGGAGTAAGAATTATTTAATGGCTTCAGATGAAGTGCATATCCTCTAGGGCCAAAGGGACAGCTCGTTATCACTGTGAAGAGAATGTTGCTGACCCACCATCTGGAGATAGCGCAAGTTCTGGTTCCAGCAGTAAGTGACCTGTCGATGCTGAGCCATTCCTTCATATTGTCCTTGTGACTGCTGGCCTGTGTCTGTGATATGGCTACACCCACAGTCAGACAGAGGTTTTTCCTTTTGAAAACAAGCTCATTTATGTAGAGAGCAAATCTGTGATGTTGGCCTTAAACTGAACAGGTGCAGACAGTAATGGAGAGAGCAAAAAACCTATGGGCCACATCTTGTCCACCACCTAACTTGCAATTATGACTTCCTAACTTGAGAATTAAGAAACTTAACAGTATAGGGCTGGCAGGGTGGCTCAAGTGGTAGAGCGCCTGCTTCACAAACACAAGGCCCTGAGTTCAAACCCCAGTACCATCACCAAAAAAAAAGGAAAGAAACTAACAGTATAAATGTTGACATCGTCATCCTATAAAGGTGCAAAAACGTGGTTGAACTCACTTTATGTTAATTGCTTTACCAGTATTTCCCAAACATAAGTCATTTAAGTATCAGCGTCATGAATTTTTCTGTATATGTACGTGTACCATTACTTTTTAAAAATATTTTTCTTTAAATTGCTCACTTTTTAGAACAAACTTGTTCTCAAAGTAAATACTCAGAAACATGTAGGAACCTGTACACGAGCACCTTCCTTAATTATCACAAAGTTAGCATGCCTTTGTGATCATCGTCCAGCTCAGGAAATACTGTATTTCTTGAGTTCAGCATTTTGTTTTGTTTTGTTGTTTGAGATGGGGTCTCCCTGTGTAGCCCAAGCTGGCCTCAAGCTCGCAGTCCTCTTGTCTTCATCCTTCAAGTGCTAGGATTAAGGTGTGTACCACCAAGTCCAGCAATTGCATACATTTAAAAGAGGAAAATAGAATTCGAATAAAAGTTCACCTTTTATAATAGTAAAGATAACAGTATTTAGTTTTGCCATTAATCATCTGCATATCATGTTGTTGCAGACACTGTGTACCCATTCACAGTTTGTACCTAGTGATGTTTTAAATGTGTGTTTGGTATTTTATTATCAGCTGTAACACAGCCTGGTTCATTTTAGGCAGCATTATGATTTCTCATTAGCAAAACTGAGATACATGGATTTAATTTTTTTCCTTGTTATGTTAGCAAAACTAGGATTTGAAGAGTTTTCATATTTTTACCCAACCTTTGAGTCTATACTGTACTACACAGTTTAGAAAGAAGTGTGCTCCCCTGTGACTCAAGAATTTAACAACAGAACTTCCTAAGTCATCCAGACTATTAGCTTCATTCCTCCAAAGATCATAAATATTTAAAGGAAAACCTTTTCAACTACAGTTCTTTAATGGGTATAATTTTCCTACAACCTTCTTGTGTTGAGAAGTGCACACTACAGATGCCCAGAAAATACCTTTTGCCTGAACTGTTTCCCCCCTGATTAGACTGTAAGCCCCTAGAGGGCAGAGATCCTTTTGTCTGTCTGCTCTGCACATTGTGGTTTCCATGCTTACAGATTGAATGAGTGAGTGAGCGAGTAAATTAACTTCCTATGAGAAGGCCTCTATTTATGTAAATACACTTTGACATAGTACTCTAGAGAGGACATAAAACACACTTAAGATGTGCTTACCTTTGTATTTATTTAAAAAATACCTTTATTCTTGCTGATAATTCTAGTGGGAGAAACCTTGTCACTGTATTCTTCAGTATGATGTCTATACTAACTTAAATTAGCAGTCTTGAAATTCTCATGTTATTTTCTGATGCAACTTACAGGCAAGAGGACACCTTGGCGAGGAATCCTATTATTTGGGCCACCTGGAACAGGAAAATCCTATTTAGCCAAAGCTGTAGCAACAGAAGCAAATAACTCGACATTTTTTTCAATATCTTCCTCTGACCTTGTTTCTAAGTGGCTAGGTGAAAGTGAAAAGTAAGTTGTAAATTAATTCTTTTTTTTTTGGTTTCTTCTTTCCATTGTAGTTACTATCAATTAGTCTATAAAGTAATACATTTTTTATATTATTAGTAGACATTCAGAGAAGTGATATAATACATTAATTTCTCTGTCCGACCAGTCCCTTTTAGATTTATTTTGTAGGAAAAGCACATACACATGTGTATGTATAACTTACTAAATTGTAAAATGTGAATTATCTACTGGTAGCATTCTTAGTCTCTGCACCTGAAACATACTAGAATTTTAATCTATGTAGTTGTATATAGTCTACATAATTTAATCTGCATTGTTCTTATAATCTGGTATATTTCTTTATTTTTTTCTTTAACTATTTTTCTAACTGAAAGTTTTTATTTAATTTTAGATTGGTTAAGAACTTATTCCAACTTGCCAGAGAGAACAAGCCTTCAATTATCTTTATTGATGAAATTGACTCTCTGTGTGGTTCAAGGAGTGAAAATGAAAGTGAAGCTGCACGTAGAATTAAGACAGAGTTTCTAGTTCAAATGCAAGGTAATATTGCTTATACTACTGATTTTTAAAACAATTTTTGTTTATTATGTAGTCATTATTATAACAATAGTAGAAAAGTTAAGCAGAATTTCTCCAATTGAACTTACTATTTCATTATGCCAGGTTTCATTCTTATTGTTTTCATATGAATGCACAATTTTATTCAATTATAATTATATTGTAAGACTCACTGATATAAATAGTAAAGAAATTAATTAACATACTGGGAGCAAAATCAAAGAAATATCTTGAAAACAATATTAATAGTATTTGTCCATAGTGTAGAAGATTTGGTTCTTGGAAATATTTGCCTAGTATTATAGTAATACGATATTTGATTAAATACAGTTTTTCCAGAGAGACTCAAGATGAGGTGCTTTAATGTTAAGTAAAGCACTACATTTCTTACCAGAACGTACAGATGAGGTTTAAAAAACAACAAAATGACAAATTATTTAAAATATTGCCTATTTTAATACAGGGGTTGGTGTGGACAATGATGGAATTTTGGTTCTGGGAGCTACAAATATACCCTGGGTTCTGGATTCTGCCATTAGGCGAAGGTAAGCTGATATAGTGAACATCCTACTTCTGACTTCTCACCTTTTGCCTACTAAGAAGGCACTCTGATAAGCTTTCAGAAATTTTTAATGTGCCCTAACTCTGTTATCCCCTTGCCTTGGAGGAAGAGGGGTGGCCATTTTTGTTATTTGTTTGCCTACTGTATTGAAGATGTAAGATTCCACACAGTGGAATCTTTTACATTGGAAAGTATGTTGCTTTGTGCTTAGCTTTAGTTTTGATTAAGCTTAGTGGGCACTGATGCTTTCAAAATTTACAAACATTGTTCTGTATTTCAGTGAAAACCATATTAAACTTTTATAAAAATGATTATTTTGCAAGTCAAAGTAGAAATCTACTAAAGTAGATTTTTAGTTTTAAAAATGTCTGTAACTTGTAAGTTGACTATCAGCTGTAGGAAAGGTATGGAAGATCTTCCCTTTCCACTGCTTCACAGCTCCCTAGTCCATTCATTTAATTTTGCATGGTAAAATTTAAAGAGCCCTTCAGTTTTGGCCACTTTATTCAGTTGGTTTGCCAGTATGCTAGTTTACCATCCAGTACCAGGAAGGAAATGTGTTAAGGGTATTGAAGTCTCACTGCCACAGAGAGTTACCTGCAGGAGGAAAACCTGCAAAGACAACTTACATTATCTCTCCTTGCTTCCTTCCTATCTCCAAATACTGAAATTCTAAGAAGGCAAGTAAAGTCACTGTAAATAAATCAGCATTTATATTTATGGTATACAATTATTAGTTCTGAATGAACTCAGAGAGGACTTTGGTATGATAAATTTGTTTATAAAATTTTGAGTAATTTTTCTATTTTGAATTTAGAGAATCATTGTCATTGCTATCTTACTAATTATTGATCCTTTCATCAAGAATTCAGAATATAATTCTGCAGGAAACTAATCCTGTAGGATTACATGTCTTTTTATGTCATTTATTCCTAACATTGGCCAAGAAACCCCAAAATCATGTGAGAAAGACTAAACCATCCAAATTGATTTCCTGGTTATTTTGCTATCATTTTTTTTTTTAATTTTAACGTAGGCTGGATAGTCCCCCCTAATTTAACCAAAATATATCTACTTAATTGTTCAACTGAACTTGGTGTAATTGAGGATATCTAAATACTTGTTTCTTCTTGAAAATATCCTAATTGTTTTTTTGAGACAAGGTCTCAAAGTCCTCCTGCTTCAGTCTCCCAAGTGCTGGGATCATAGGCATGTTGCTACCATGCCTGACATGAAAAATACCTTAATTTTTAATTAAAATTAAGTGTATATTTTAATATTCCTGATATAATTTCTTTTATTTTAAGATTTGAGAAGCGAATTTATATTCCTTTGCCGGAAGCACATGCTCGAGCAGCAATGTTTAAATTGCACTTGGGCAGCACTCAGAACAGTTTGAAAGAAGTAGACTTCCAGGAACTTGGGAGGAAAACTGAAGGCTATTCAGGAGCAGATATAAGTATCATTGTACGTGATGCACTTATGCAGCCTGTTAGAAAAGTTCAGTCAGCTACTCATTTCAAAAAGGTAAGCAACCTTAAAATATCTTTTCATATATTTTTAAAATCAAGTTTCAAGACCATCATTGGTTTATGTTCAAAGAAGTTGGAAAGATTTCAGTGTTATATAATAATATAATGTGTTTACATAGTAGACATTTCTGTTCCATTGAAAATAAATTCTCTAATAAAGCTGATTTATTAATAGCCATTATTAATAGTCTGTACTGTTGTAAGTTTTTCTATGGAATAACTTTTGAAGTAATTTTGCATTATTTTGGTGTAAGTAAGAAATATAAATGTAAATGTAAAATTTATAGTTGTAAGGCTGCTTCTGATGAATCTAGAGCAAACTTGAGCCCAATCTGGTGCATTTATAGCTCACGATCAAACTAAAAATAATATAAGCTACTATCTTTTAGACATCCACATTGTCTGGCACTGTGCTGTCCTTTATCTTATTCCATTTGAAGTTCTCAGAAATGACAAAAGGTGATACGTGTAGCACACCACCTGTTGGTAGTTAATCTGGGACTTGACTTGAATGCTAACACAGTTTGCCCCCACATTTTACAAATAGAATGGAGCACAAGTGTATTTGTCCATAGATGAGGTGTACTTCAGAATCTCAAATTGCAACCATTCTGCTGTTCTGCCTTTCCTATGCACTGATTTGCCTGCATGAATGTGTTACACATGTGGCTGAGATATACTTTTATAACTTTTTTTGGGACAAGGTCTCACTATGTATCTCAGACTGGCCTCAACCCCAAATGCTGGGTTTAAGTCTATGGTTTTGAGATAACCAACTTTACGTAACAATAGCTTTCCTACTTTTGTTTAAGGATAGCAACATGTAACATTATTTACAGTAATACATGTGAAAATCCTGAAAAACTATTAGAAACCTAATAGTTTTTGATAAGACTACGCTATATAAGACTAATACGTCATGACTAACTTACATATATATGCCTATCATATACCATAATATTTTTTTAAAGTTAAGAGCTTGAACTAAAAATGCAATTTGCTTAATATATGTTTATTTGAGCGAATTAAGTTGCTTATTTAAGGCTCATTTTTATCTCTAAAATGGGAACAACACTACTTTGAAGTGCTTTTGTCTTTAAACACCAGTCATGGGTGCCTGAATATTTCTCATCCCTTTTTCAGCTATTTTGTTACCGAGAGAAAGAGTCTCAGAATTAAGTTTATACCACAATCACAATATTTTCTCTTCAATTTTCTTCACCACTTAGAGACTATAAATTCTTAGGAATTCATCCTTTTCTTACTCAGAATTTATTAATCAGTTGTATATATAACTACCAGGGTCCCCTTACGACTGTGAAGCCAGTTCCTTGTTAGTAGCATAAAGGTAAAGCAACCAGATCATTTTTAATGTTATAGTTACTGATTCATATAAATTTTACAAAATAATGGGTTTCACTGTAACATTTCCATACATACATATGTTGTGCTTTGCAGTCAAATCAGTTTTAACACTAGAGTTTTGTTTACCAACTATAGTAAGCATCTCTGTGGCTCTATCCTTTTCTCTGTTTTTAAGGCTATTTCACTTAGCATGAACACACAAAAAATTAGCAAGAACACGTTTGTCTGTATTTAATTTACTTTATTTATGAAATGTCTAAAATACTAATCCAGCCCCGAGTTAAACTAGAAAGTAAAAGCTAAAAACGACAAAAATCCCTGACTTCATGTAGCTGAAATTTTTGGGAGGAAAGGCAGACATACATACGTTAAGTAATCTGAGAAGGTATACGTACTTGTTAAACTGAATATGTATATGTACATAATTAGTATGTGCATAAAGCAAACTGAGAATGTGTATACTAATCCTGAAATAAAATTGATCAGTATAAATCAGCCCCAATTTGATATAGATTTATTGCCATCTAAATATTTGCCTGTGACTTTGTTACAAAGGCTCTTTTTTCTGAATATTGTATCAATTTTTTATTTTAAACAAGTTATCCACTATAAAATGTCACAGACATTACTTAGCATTTTATTTTGTACCTATATTTAAAAGAGTTTTTGTTAAAAGAGACATAAAGACTCATAATTTCAGACTAATGCCTCCAAATTCCACAAGTTGGTTAGCCATGGGAAGTAGAACAACTTCTGAGTACTTTTTAATACATCTGATTTTAATCTCTACGATTACTACCACTTAATAAGCATTAGAGGAAAAAAGGGAAATGTAACTGTTTCTCTTCTTTTTTTAAAAAACTCATCCCCCATCATATAATTTGTTGTAAGACATTCAAAATACAGAAAAGCATCCAAAAAAAACTAAAATCAACCGTAGTCCATTCATTAACCCAAGGATAAATACTTGTTGTATATTCTGTTATTTTCAGAAGAAAATATTTTTTGCAACATAAAAATACATTTCCAGCTTTCCTAATAATAAGTTTTAATACCTGTTTATTCAAGTAGCTATTTCAAGTTATTGTTGATTGCAGGTTCAGGGACCTTCCCGAGCTGATCCTAATGCCACTGTAGATGACCTGCTGACACCCTGCTCTCCAGGGGACCCTGGTGCCATTGAAATGACGTGGATGGATGTCCCTGGAGATAAACTTTTGGAGCCAGTTGTTTCCATGGTTTGAAATTTTATTTTTAGGAAATATTTTAAACCACTATACTTTGTAATTTGTCAAAGATAATGTTTTGATGTACGTAAGATTTGCTAGGAAAAGCTAATATGATCAGAATGTTTACTTAGTACTATTGAGTCACTTCAAAGTTGTAAAGATTAATTGAGCTTAAAATGCAAAGCCAGTTATCTTTAAAGTGTTTCCTTAGGCTGCCAGACTTTTAAATGAAAAGGCAATTAAAAAAATACACACTTATGACTAAATGCTCACATATATTCTACAAGTTATTGTCAAGACCTAACTAAAAAAGTAGGATTAGGAAAAATGTTTCTCCTGAATTTCACATTTTAAAAAATAAATCCTAATGCTTGTATTACAGTATTCATAAATGGTGCCTTTCTGTTTTAGTTCTTTAGGCTCCACAGGAAGTTTAAATAATGTAGGGCTTTAAAATTTTAACTGAGGATTTTTTTTTTCCTCAAGATATTTAACTTAATTTTAACTTAATTTTCAAAATTTCTGCTGAAGCTTATGATTTTCAGAGAACTTAATGGTAGATTTAACAGTTACTTTCAGAGAAGAAACTTAAATGATATGTAGATGTAGGTACATAGACATGTATGTTCACATTTGTGTAGACCCACAAATAGACATATATTTATGTGCTCATTGTAATGCTCATCTGAGAAGTTACTCAGAAATTCCTTTTTGTTTCAAGTGATTATTTTTTAATCATGTACCTCACTTCTTTTTTGGGGGCGGGGCTCAACCACTTAAGCCACACTTCCAGCCCCAATAGATTATTTTGTTTTTTAAGTTTTTGTATTCTGATCTGGCCAACTGACTCAAGTGGTAGAGCTCCTGCCTAGTAAGCACGAGGCCCTGAGATCAAGCTCCAGTACCGCCAAAAAAAAAAAAAAAAGTTTCTGTGTTCTGTCTAGCTTTGAAGGATTTACAATAACTTATAGTGGTTCCTGTTATCATTTGCCATACCATTTTACAGAACATACTCATTTTGGGTTTGGGGATTTTTCTTTGTGCATGTTTTATTGTGGTTTGGTTTGGTCGGACTGGGATTTTTGAGGCATGGTCTTGTCAGGCTGGCTTCAGACTCTATCCTCCTGCCTCTGCCTCCTCAGTGCTGCTATTACAGGCATGCACAACCATTTCCATTCATTTTTAAATTTCTGATACTAGCATATTTTCTTACCATTTCAATCTTCTAATTTTTAAGAATTCTGGTTAATTGATTTCAAAAATAATATTCTACTTCACTTGAGTTGGACTTACAGAAATGAATTTTTGTATTAAAATGTAATAAAATTCAGTAAGTGCAGTTTGAAATTTTACAACAAAATATATTTCTATGGTTTATATGGGAAGATTTAAATAATTTATAGAATTTTAATATTTTGTAAAGTACATTTTTACAGATTTTAGGATAATTGATAAGGTGGATTTATTATGTTTCTTGATAAGTCTTTGATTTTCAAAATTTTATGCTTCACAGATTTTCAAAGAACTTTGTAGCAAAATTACTAATTTTTTTGTAGGATAATTACCATATTCCTTTTGAATTGCACTTAGTAGGAAAACTGAATTCTTGTTTATGGAAAACAGGTAAGGCCAAGAATGAGATCCTGACTGCGTTCTGGAGGTTCTTGATCCTCAGCTAATAGGATTGTACTTACTGTACATAGTGAGGAGTGATTGGAAGGTCTTGATCAGGACAAGGGAAGAAACCAGAAGTTTCTACACAAAGGAATGACGTGGCCAAAGATGTCCTTTAGGAAGAATAAGTGAATTTATTGCCAGTAGCTTACGGCACACTGCAGATACTCATTAGGTTAATGATAACAATGCGATGAGTTTTGTTTTATTTAATCTACTATTAATATCCCTCTTCCTTTCTGTTCTCTGGCAGTGGGATATGCTGCGGTCCCTGTCTAGCACAAAACCCACAGTCAATGAACAAGACTTGTTGAAATTAAAGAAGTTTACAGAAGATTTTGGACAAGAGGGCTGAACCAAAGACAGCAAGGAAGACATTTACCATGTGTATTCCTTTCTTTCCTAGATACTTTTCGCATTTCCTGAATGGCATTCATTATTTCCAATACAACTCTTTTACCACGGGGAGCGCACATCTCACTTCTGAGTTCTGAGTTCCTTTATGTTTTATATTGTACTTTTTCTCTATTACCTGTTAAATGCTCCAGTTAACAAAAATTGTACAATAGTGGGTTTTAAGGAAATAAACGATATGTGAATGGCATAAAATTAGAAATTACACAGCAAAAAGTATTAAATATTGATTGACAAATGCAAAGAGCATTTATCTTTTTTTTACTAAAATGAAATAGGGCTTTATATTTTGAAAAAATTTCTTAAACATTCATATCAATGTGACATTTATATACTTTATTAAAAATTTAAAATGATAGAATCTTGACTCTCAGGGATGGGCAGTAAACAACAAAGAGCACTGTGATTGGTTGAGAATGATTTTGATTGTCTTATGTAAAGCCAGTGCTGACTTTTTAATAGATTGTTTTGTTTTGATTTGGTTTTTTTTCCTGTGGAGATTTAAGTAATTCCTTTAAAGGCAACAAACTTTTATTACATGGTACCTTCCATTGTGCAATCTCAAGAGAAAGATTTTCTAAATTAAGCATTGTCTTTACCTTAAAGAAAAAAATTGTCTATTTCAGTGTCTTTTTGTAGCAAGATTGACCAAAACAGGTGGTAAATAATTTTTAGAATATCTGTCATATGAGATACTGTAATGGGAACCTTTGCTAATAAGATAATGACCTCCCTTTGGATTATGGGACATTTTTCAGTGTGTGATATGGGTGTGTGTATGTACATATATAGATATATATATGTGTGTATAATTTTTTTTAAATGTAGAATAGAAAGAGTCTTGTCTTTCATCTTTTAAATTCAGGGAACAGTTTGTCCTGGCTACACATATGTTATCAGTGGGATGCTTTACAAAGCTTTAGAAATGAACTTATGTCTCATTGAATAATAAAGCATAAACATGGTGTTATGTTATTATAATGTCTTTCAAATAAATGATCTCTGAGTTGTACATTTTAGCATCGACACTAAGTTGTGCCTTGATTATACATGCAAAAACTTACTAAACTAGCTAGAATGAGGTGTATTCTTTAATTGCTGTAAAGTTCTACCTTGCAAATTCTATACAATAACTTGCATTTCAAAGTATATTTGCACATTTTGCATATTATGTTATATGGTTGCCTTTGGGTTTTCTGTACAGATTGTTGATATTCAGTGGAAATCATAGGCTTGAAATAATGCTGTTCTTATATGAAGTAAATTGATATAACCTGCTATTGGCTGTATTCTTTGTACTTCTTTATTTTAGGACCTTCAGTATAGGAGACAATATTATCTAAATTGGTTAGATACAAAGAAGCTATGTAAGATTATTGAATATTTACACAAAAGAGCTGAGTGTTGTGACCTCGTGCCTGTAATCTCAGCACTTGGGTAGCAGATGCAGGAGGATCATGAGTTCAAGGCCAGCCTTGACTACATAGTAAATAGACCCCGAATCAAAAACAGAACAAAAAAACCCAAAGCCAAACAAGATTAAGGAGTATATACATAATAGTTCTGTTTTTCAACCAATTTTATATGAAGATTGGAAATCAACCTGACAGACCAACATGGAATTCTTAGTGAATATAATAATTTATATATTTTTATCTGTTTATTAGCCTCAGAATTATATAGTATTGCTAATTATATAATTAGGAAAGTTAATATATTATACTTGTATATAATTGAAAGACAAATTTTTATGAGTCCAAAATTCAAAGAAGGATGCTACTTAAGTTGATCAAATACAGGACCAGATAGTATGTAAGCATATTATTAATAAATGGATACTTTATTGCACTTAATTCCTATATCTGCTTTGAGAACTATGTGTCGTTTCACTTCTAGCCATTGTTCCATTTTCTAAATTTCTGCATCTAAAACTTACTTATGCACACAAGTAACTTTGAACTTGTTCTAGAATAGTACAGTAAGCTTCATGGACCATTTCCTTACACTTTATGGACGGGAAACTGAAAAGAACCTGAGTGTGTGCTGTGTTTCTCTGGCTCTTGACCATTATAAAGTTTTGGGTAGGCTTTTTTTTTTTTTTTTTTTGGTGGCACTGGGGTTTGAACTCTGGCCTTGCTAAGCAGGCATTCTTACCACTTGAGCCACCTACCAGCCCTTTTTAGTGATGGATTTTTTCAAGATAGAGTCTTACTATTTGCCTGGGGCTGGCTTTGAAACATGGTCCTCCTGATCTCTGCCTCCTGAGTAGCTAGGATTACAGTGTGAGCCATCAGTGCCCTGTAGGGTAGGCATTTTTTGAGGAAACAAGTATAGCCTAGTAAATTGAGCATCTCTGAGAAATCTAAGCATGTTCGTAGGGAATTGACTTTGGAGTTCACTGTCAACTACTGGTAGAAAAACACAGGATGGGTGTATTTGATTATTATCACTACAGAAGTACCCTTTGCCCTTCCAACACTTTCCTGAGGGGAATTGAACAGAAGCACATTGGTGCCACGTGTTGCCAATGAAGCCATGCTGTGCTGGGGTTGACAAGTGATTGTATCCCGAGTTCCTGAGCTCTTGGGGGTACCGTATCCTTTCCTCCCTCCACTCATTTCTTTCTCTTAATCTTCACCCTCCTTTTGTATGCTACTCCAAGTCACAGTGTTTCCATTAAGACCCAGATGAACCTTAGATCTTTTCCAGGAAGAATCCCTAATCTGTCCTCTCCTACATTTGATTTCTTTATCACTTAGTTGTCACTATTGACTTTTGTGCTAGTCACTAGTGTCTCATGCCTGTAATCCTAGCTAGTTGGGAGGCAGAGCGGTTCAAAGCCAGCCCAGGGCAATAGTTTGAGAGACCCTATCTCAAAAATACCCAATACAAAAAGGGGACTGGTAGAGTGGCTCAGTGGTAGAGTGCCTGCCCAGCAAGTGCAAGTCCCTGTGTTCAAATCCCAGTACTGCCAAAAAGAGAAAGGGTTTTTTTTTTTCTTTAGTTTCAAGCACATTCATTTATGTTTATAACATTTAGATTTACCATCTCATGTGGGGCTCAGAGCAGGGCAGTGTGTCTCAGGGTAGGGGATCAATGACTCCAATGCTCAGACCACCAGCATCTTTGGCAGGTGACACCTGTGTCCCCATTCCTGCCTGCCAAATTCCTTCTCTCAGTGTCTCAAGGCCTTTAGCTGAATCTCTTCACTGACATTTGAGGTGAGGATTTGTTGGGAGGGACAGCAGAAAGTACAGACAATTATGCTTCTGTCCATTTGGACAAGCCAAGGGAGCACAAAAGGGCCTGGCTACCTTCACGCACAGGGGAAGGGAAAATACTCAGAAAAAATGGTGTTCTTAATACATGCTGCCAAGTATTATGAAGCCATCCCAAGGAAATGGCATGAGGAAAGTTTGCAGCCAGAGTTAATGGCAGGTCTCTCCTCGTGACAGAATTACAAAGAGCAGTTTTGCTTGTTTTTTGGGGACCTGGGGATTGAACTCTGCCTTATGCTTGGTAGGCGGGTTCTGCACCACTTGAGCCACTCTGCCAGCTTTTTATTTTTCTTAACTTTCTTTTCTAAATTTTATGAAGTAGCTTTTGTAATTTTTTTTCTTACTGTGGTAAAATATGTAACAGGATTTGCTACTGTTAACTATTTTTAAGTATAATTTGGTGGCACTGAGTACTTTTACAAGGTAGTTCAACTGTCAGCATTAACCCTCTCCAGAGTGTCCAGAACTTTCTCATCATCCCAAACAGAAACTTTGTACCCAATTAAAGAACACCTCCCCTTCCTGCCCCACCATCCAGCTCTCAGTAACCTCCATTCTACTTGTTTTCTCTGTGAGTTTGTCTACGTTATGCTCAATGAACTAAGGCAAAACCAAAGGTCAAATCTCAAATCTCGTGAGTCCAGGTGTGTATTGGCTTTTAGTGTCTAACTTATTTAAGCATGTCTTCAAGGTTCATACACATTGTAGCATGGGTCAGAATTTCACTCCTTTTTAATATTGAATAATTTTCCATTGTGTGATCATACCTCATTTTGTTCATGCATTCATCTGGTGATGAAAACATTTGGGTTTTTCTACCTTTAGGCTGTTGTGAATAATACTGCTGTTGATGTGGACATGCAGAATCTGAATCTCTGCTTCATTTTAGCACACACCTAACAGTGGAACTGCTGGATCACATGCCGATTCTATGCCTAACTTTTTGGATCCATCTAATGTTTGCATGGTGGCTATACCTCTTTACATTTCCGCCCGCAATGCATAAGTTCAGATTTCTCTGCATCCTTGTCAACACTTGTGGTTGTCCATTTGTGTTTTATTATAGCCATTTCAATGAGCATGAAATACTTTTTTTATTTTATATTTGGGAAAAATGTCAGTAATTTATGTGGGCAAAGAAAGAGGTGATAATGTGTTGGGGGTATTGGTAATAGGAATGTAACTCCATTACAGACGTCTGCTTTTCATTCAGTCAGTCACATTAAGATAATTTTTATTAACATTTTTTATCAAGGACCTTTGCATTGATTTTGACCTGAAACTATTAACTTAAAATATTATCTTGACTGCTGTTTTTTTTTTTTTTTTAGCATCTCCTTTAATTTTGTGAGTGCCTCACCTCACCTAGCTTGGTCCATAAATAGAGTGATCAGAAATAATGTTGAATTGTGCTCCAGGCTTTTATTGGCTTAGCCTATCAAGGTAAAAGCCACACCTACTTTCATACTGCAGTTCACAAAAGAACTTCTAGCTATGTGCGGGACAAAACTATTTGGCACTCCATGAAACAACAAGGGGTCAGCATTTAGGATTTCTTAAATTATTCCTGAATTATAGCAAGAGTGAGCTTTTGGGGTTTGTCTTGTTTTTGTAATTGGGTCCAGAATCTGATTTCATAATACCTAAGATGGAAGTTGTCAGGAGTTTGGTGGGGGAGATGTTTTTACAGATCCTCACCTGAAGGGGAAGGGAACTGAACTGGGCAGAAATAGCAGTCAGTTCCTATGTAACCCCCAAATTCGTCCCCTAATGTGAACATGTTATGTAACTAGTACAGTGATAACCTTGATTCCAATACCTGTAGCCAAACTACAACTTTGAGTTTTACCAATTTTCCCACCACTGCCCTTTTTTGGTTCCAGGATCTGATGTGGAATCCCCCAACTTAACATGTTCAGGGACTGAATATTTTACTTATTTTTTTGTGTCTGGCAGGGAGCAGTACTGGAGTTTGACCTCAAGGCCTCATGCTTGCCAGGCAGGTGCTCTACCACTTGAGCCATGCCCCCAGCTCTTTTTTATTATTTCTTAGCACAGTTGTGATACCTGAAAGGGTGAAAACTCCTATTTTGGAAAACTGATAGGGTTTTAGGGGAAATCCCCTTTGTCTTTTGTAGTTTCAGTGGAATAAACTGGTGAAGATTAAATAGAGAAGGCATACAAATTTTCAAAAGGAGAAATCACAGCAGGGGAAGTAATCACAGGAGTAAGGTTACCCAGGAGCTCGGCATCATTCAGAGGCATATATTCTCCGTTATGTATAGGAGAGGGGTTTGGGGGAAATTAGATAATTTTGAGGCGATTGAAGTGATTACTGGGAGGAATGAGACAGAAATTAGCTTGTAAAAATACTGTATTTGGAATCTGAATGAGCCCAAGGGTCAGACATCTTGTAACAGAAGTCTATACAGATGTGGTCACATTGCTCAGTCTTCTTTGCTGAGATGAGAGGTGGGATATCAGGTGGAGCTGGAAGGCAGTTTGGTTCCCATTTGCAATGAGCTCTCAATGCCAATAAGGAACTTCACAGATTCACTATTCTTAGGTGGGCAGAAGCAATACAAACTTCCTTGGGTAATAAGGCTTACCATGCCAAAAAGTTCCCATATTTTTGAGGTATCATTCTCTGAGCCCCAAAAAGTCAAATGGAAGCCTGCTAGCCTGAGTGATGTCATTCTGGGAGACATTTTGGTCATATGACAATGGATTGGACCAGTTGATTCTAGCTGGGTGGAACTCTAGTAACCAGGCACTCACTACCATTTGACTCTATTTTTGAGGTTATGTTTACTATTGTATGTGACATAGTGTCACACTAGTATTGCTAGTGAGATTATAGTACTCATTGACGTCAAATGTTTGGGGAAATTGAGTTAAATGCTTCTGGCTCCACAGTGGCTCCTCCGTATTAGGTATATTTGTTTTGCTGGTTTCCTCAAAGGCCAGGTGCTGGCTTGGGGAGTAAAGAATTCATCCTTGTCCAAAGAGAAAGTCTGGTCTTCATCCTTGGCTTCTGATATGTCTGATAGGAAAGTCTTTTTTAGATGGGACTGGCCAGAGCAGACTTTAAAGTAGGACCTGGTCACGACAGAAAGACTAGCCATTTTGTTTAGGTGGGTGATTCTGTGCCATGCATTACCAGTGTACTTGGAGACTGAGTTTAACCACATGCATAATAAATCTTAGTCAATTAAGCCTACATAATGAGGCCCCAATAGAAACTCTGGACATAGAAGTACAGGTAAGCGTCCCTGCTTGGCAATATGCCCACATTGTCACACTTCAATGCTGGGAAGGTAGCACTTTCTGAGAGCACAGATGACAACAGAGCCTTGTGTTTAGAACCTGCAGACTTTGCCCTGTGTGTTCTTTCCTTGGCTGATTCTGATCTGTGCCCTTTCCCTGTAATAAACCACAACCATGAGTGTAATTGTTTTCAGTGAGTTCTAAGACTTTCCACTAAACCATCAATTAATTGAAGGTGGTTTGAGAATCCCTCAGACTTGCAACTGGTGTCACAAGTCTTGGATATTGTGCCTTCAAATCTTGCAGTTTAGCTAACTCGGCAATATGCCAAGAGAGAAAAATTCAAATCAATTCCTTTTGTTCCTTACTGTTTGTAATATAACAGTGTTTCTTCAAAAAAAAGCCAACAAAAATATATACCTTATACAAATCAAAACCACGATATGAGTTCATGCCAGTAGAAGGGCTATAATCAAAAAGATGATAACAAATCTTCGTGAGGATGTGGAGAAATTGGAACCCACAGAAAGTGTTGGTGGGAGTGTAAAATGGTGCAGTTACTTTGGAAAACACCCTGGTAATTCCTTAAAGGGCTATGCAGAGTTACCATGAGATCTAGCAATTCTATTCCTAGACCTATACCCAAGAGAAATGAAAACGTGTGTCCACACAAAAACTAGCACAAGAATGTTCACAGTAGCATTTATTTGTAAGAGCCAAAAAAAAAAAGTGGAAGGAATATAAAATCCATCAATTGATGAATGGAAAACTATACCCATACAATAGAATAGTATTAGGCAATACAAAGAAATGAAATACTGAGATATTGCACACTGTGGATGAACCTTGAAAACATCATGCTAAGTGAAAGGTCAGACACAATGGCTGCTAACTACTGTGATTCCATTTACATGAAAAATCCAGAACAGGCAAATCTGTAGAGACAGAGTAGTGATTGCCTGAGGCTGGGCAGGATTTGGGAGAAAATGGAGAGTGGTAGCTAATGATTACAGACTTTCGGGTGATGACAAAAATGGTCTGGAGTTGGTTGTGGTGACAACTGCAAACTCTGATGCGGAACTGGGTTTGCATGTTTTGTTTTGGACCTGCCTGGGTTAATAACTCTGAGCTCCAGGAAATTGGATGATCTCAGTGATTTTTCAGAACTCCATGTTAAGTCTTTCCGGGTCCTGTGGAAAGCGAAAGTGGGCTGAGACCATTTTCTAAGTCTGCCAGGAAAATATGAACTGGAAACTGGATTTCAGTCTCCGCCTCTCGCGCTGAACAAGATCCGGAGATCCTAGAGCCACCGTTTGCGATCTTCCCTGCTCCCCGCAGCCCTGGAGCTAGATGGCGGAGCTCGGGGGATTGACACCTGCTCTACGGGGTCCTAAGAGGCAACCTCGAAACCATCGGAGCCACCGTCCCGGCCCTGGCCGGGCGCGATCGCGGGTGGCGCTGCCCTTTCCGCGTCCGGGTCCCGGAGCCGAGGCTGCGCCGCCGGGTCCCCACGTTAAGGGGCGGGGGGACCCCGGGCCCGGGTGAAGCCCCTGTGTCGGCGGCCGCGCTTCCCCGCCCCCCATGCCCCGCCCCGGTTGCGCCCCTCCCGGGCTCCTCCTCTTCCCCTCCGCTGCGGGCCCGCCCTCCCGCAAACCCAAACACTCCGAGCTCCTGCTGCGCGGCCGCGCGTGATCGGCCCGCCGCCGCCGCCACCGCTGCCGCCTCCCTGCGCTCCGGTGCCGGAGCCCGCGCCGCCCCCGGCCCCGCGATGCTGCTGCTGGCTGCCGCCGGCCTCGTGGCCTTCGTGCTACTGCTCTACATGGTGTCTCCGCTCATCAGTCCCAAGCCCCTTGCCCTGCCTGGCGCGCATGTGGTGGTAAGTGGCCTCCTGTTGCTGCGCCTCGGGCCCCCGGCCTGCTTGGCTGGCCCGCGACCGAGGTCGCCGCCTGGTCCTCCAGGCCATGGTTCCATGAAGACAGCGCCAAATGGAGAGGGTCACCTGCTCCGTCCGCGCTGGCACTGCCCTTTCGGGCCGGGCGCCCGGCCTTGGGGACCCGCCTTCCTCGGCGTCTGACTCCTCCCGGGGCCGGAGAGCCTGCGACGGGGACAGCGCCAGCCAGCCGGGATCCCACGGCTCCAGGGTCTCGGTGGCTGATTGTTAATCCCTCGAGCATCCCCGGGTGTGGGTGTTTGGGTCCTCAGATTTCCCGATGAGTCAACAGAGAGGCTGAGAAACTTTGCCAAGCGATCGGTGGCGCGCAAGATGCGGACGCGAACCCGGGCGGGGGTCCTGGCCTCCCTCCGGGACCCGCCGACGCAGCTCGGGACAGGAGGATGGCCTGTGCGAGTGATAGAAGGAGCAATGGCCAGAGGACTCCAGGAAGTGACTCATCTGGGGGATAAACTGCTCAGCACCCACACTGGTCTGGAGTTGTCGCCCAGTGGTGTTGGAACGCTTCTGTTCCGTGTCCCGTGGTGGTCTCTGAGCTCGACCCGAGCTTTGCCCATTGGCACCCCACTGCAATCCTATTCCGTCTCTCCAGAGTCGGAAGGATGAGCTAAAGGACCTGGTTAGGGCTGTAGGATCGAAGGAGGTGTGCGCTCTTGGGTTTGATTCTAACCGGAAGCTGGTGTATTCAGCGATCCCTATTCTGCAATTATAGCACCTTGCAAACCCCAGTGCGCCTCCTCCCCTGCGCCCTGCACCCTGCAGTTCTCAGTAGTGGTGGTGGCTTTCTCACCAGTGCACTCAACAGCCCGAGGCACACCAGGCCAGGCGGGGGATCATGAATAAGGACAGCCAGTTACTAAGCTGGCAGCATGCATCTTCTGGTGACCTAAGTGTCTGTGCTTGTGTGTCCCTGCTGCCACCCGAGCCTCCTCACTGAGTGGTTATAGGATAGGATGGTCATTGATCTTAGTGTGCTTTAAATCTGAACAAAGGTTTGTGGATGACGAAATATTTTCTTTCATTTCTCCTTTGTAAAACTATTGGTTATTTCCAACTATTGCTGCTGATGTCTATGGTGAGGAGTTGAGTGTAGATGAGAGAGAGCCAAACTACAATTATACTACTTTCTGAAAGTTTCACATCCACAAGAGAACTTCTGTTCCGAAAGCATGGCCTGAAAAGTTGAATTCTTTCAGAACTTTAATAACTTGGAAAAAAAATTAAAAGGAAATCCAGTCAGAATGAAAATTTTGATTCAGTATTTACAAGACAGTTTCATTTAACCTTGACACTAGTCCTGTTTGCATCAAGCTCCAGTCGCAGGTGAGATAACAAATGCCACATCTGTTGGGATAGACCAAGGATTTCTTATTTCTACCATCCTGCCTTAATACTACTATAAGTGAGACATACGTTATATATGTATGTGTATATAGATAATCTTTTTTACTGTCCTAAGAAGAGCAAAGTGTAATTTACTTGAGACTTGTCAGGAGCACAGTTGGCTATCAGGGTGGAAGTGATCCTGTAGACTGTCTCTGTGTGACAGCATGAACGACTTGTACCTGTGTACTGCTTCATTGTCAGGACTGTTCCATGCTGGTGCTCTGTCTGACTGCAGTGGTGAGGCTGTACAGCACGTCTCACACGCTAGATGCTTATTTCAGTCCTCCCTCACTGGGAGCAGCTCTCCTGGAGGCCAGCCAGTTCATGGTGCCCTTAATAAATGCTATATGAAGTAGTTAAAGGGACAGTAACATTTAAATGATATTTGCAATGAATAAGAGGGAACGATTAAAAAAAAAAAAGGTAATTAGCCTGCTTAGTGTTCCCCACCTGGGTTCAGTTTTGTACTTGTCAGACAACTCAATATAAATGTACCATTTTTCTCAGCCATCGTGAAAACCTCTGAAGTTTCTCATTACATGCAGAATAAGACAGCGAGAATTGGCCTATATTCTTAGACACCATCTAAGAATTAGCTGGCTTGACTACAAGGTAGTTTCCCAAGAACCCTGATCCAAAAGTTGAAGTCTTATGGAGAGATCTTAAAACTGTTAGCTTTAAACCTTGTGTGTGCTTTGCAGTAAGTTTACCTGGCTGGCTTTCCTATGTACACTAGAAAAAGGACAGTGATAATAACAACGCTGTTCTTTACATAACACTTTAGATCATAGAAATTTTCTCAGTAACTTAACTTCCACTTCCATGGATTCATTAGATAATAAACAGGGAAATTGTATTTATAAAGGTTTTTTAGCATATTTTCTGGGAAATGTCATCATATGCCATTCTGCAGATTAATGTAGGCAAGTATTTATTTAGCAGCTATGCTCACGAGATCCATTGGACCTGGTGTTTGTCCTTAAGGAATTGAGAGTCTGGCCAAGAAGCCAAGATGTATCTGTAAGTAGCTGCATAGCGTAGATGGATGGTGACAGGTAAGGTCAGGACTGAGTGAATATTGGGAAGGGGATACTTGAACTGAGCTCTGCAAGGTGATAGGAGTTAGAAGTCGAGTGTGGGTGATATGGGTGGAGGAGCACCTAAGCAGCTGAGACAGGTGGCGTGATGGAACACTCAGGACACTTCAAGGCCCCTGCTAGGTACTATGGGTTACAGGCACGAGCCAGCAGCACCCAGCATGGTGAAATTTAATAAGCTAAAACAACTATGAAATTTCCTGATAGCAAGGACCTTCTCAGAGACAACACTTAAACCAGGCAACAGGTATATTTTTTATAGTGATCCTTGGTAGAAATTTGGTTAATTATCCACCAAATAAATCTCTCCATTGGTGGCAAGTCAAGGCTAAAGAGATATGGGGGGTGTCTGCAGGTCACATGGAGATGCATACCTTTGCCTAGGAGAGGCTTCATGATATTAAAATCATAGAATGGGAGATGTCCCTTACAGCATGATTTGTATGTGACAATAAAATATCTGAAGTAGTTCAAATGCCTAGCTCTAGGGAAATGGCTGTTTTGATACAGCTTTCTGATGCAATATTGTGAACCCTTTAAGTTTTTTGACATGATGTCATGTGTATATATATTTGTAATTCATATATAATTTTTTTTGTGGATCTGGGTTTCAGCCCATGGCCGTATACATGCTAGACAAGGGCTCTACCACTGCCTGGTATCCCAGCCCTGTAACATAATCTTTTAGAACTAGTCTTGCACAGGTATACAAGAAGGAAATAATACTCATTTGGATTTGGAATCAGAGACAGACTGATGGATTATTTCTTAGCTAGGGTTCTCCCCCTCTAGTAGACTCAGAAAACTATTGAAGTTGTGTAGTTTATAGTTCAGTACTGAAAGCAGTCAAGGCAGAAAGTCCTGCTGACAGTATAATCCTTCATGCTTGCACTTACTCCAGACATTAAATTTGGTGTGAAGAAGCTGTGTGTTTTGAGTCCACCGCCATCCTATCTTTTGGTGCTGGGGATTGAACCCAGGGAGTATGCCAGGCAAGCCCCGTATCCCTGAACTACACCTCCAGTCCTATCATAGTTATTTTAAAGAAACTCCTTCCAGAGGAGAAGTTGCAAGTGCTAAGAAGATCTTTCCATTTTTGTTTGTAGGTTACAGGAGGTTCCAGTGGCATTGGGAAGTGTATTGCTATTGAGTGCTATAAACAAGGAGCATTTATAACTCTGGTTGCACGGAATGAGGTAAGTCTTCGAGGTTCCTTCGTACTGACTTACTCAACCTTAGTTGAAGAGGTGTGCTAAGTGTCTTGGTATTCACACCTGTGCTGGAAGCGCTCACTTCTGTGATTTGTCCTGTGATTCTTGAACTACTGATTCTTTCTTGCGTTTAGGCCAAGGACTTCTCTGTTCAAGTCTGATCAGCTCAACAAATACTTATTTCATGCCATTACCACTTCAGGCACCATCACAGGCAACACAGATCTTGAGATAGAAGAGGCAAGACATGGCATTGTAGCATACCTGATCACAGGAACTCAGGCATGCTGGCAGTCAATACAGAAGCTAATCCTGAAAGTATGTAGGTGTTCCTGATTCTGGAGCTGATACCTGAAGGGGTGGAGGTGTTATCTGTCAGTTTTCTCCATCATTTGCTCCTGACATGATACATAGTTCTAATGAAATCCATAGATTACAGGACAACCACAGAAAAAAACAGGTTTTTCTGGGACAAGCTGATACATGGTCTCTCTCTTTTTTTTTAGGGTCCATATGCTTTCCAAGGTTGTTTTCAGAGCACAAAGCAATTTCACTGTGTGTGCACACAAAATAATCCTGATGTCCTCTCATGCTGTATCGAGGCCAGGGGCAGTGGCCATGGCTGTGTGGTTACTGTTCTTGAATAGAGAGCATAGTCTTGGGATGATACAGGTGCTCAAAACAGATTTATTGAGTGAGAAAATGAAGAAAGAAATAACAGAGATGAGAGTGCCAGTGTAGATTAATGGGTTAGGCAGCGAGGTGGCGGAAAAGAGCCTGGTGGGAGAGCAGACCAGGAAGGGCCTCTGGGGAAAAATATTTAAATACAACACACAATTTAAATACGACACATAATTTCTTTGAAAAACTAGAAAAAGCAAAATTAGGTACCTGTCTTTTGTTTATACCATGACTTCTCTAACAATGAATTTGCTCTGACATTGAAGCCACCTTACATGAGTGGAAACAGATTTAATACAGTGTCATTTTGTGAGTTTTTAACAAGGCTGATATTTGATGCCAGACTAATGAAAGTATAGCCAGAAGAGGCCAGGGGCACAGGTGGCAGGAACTGACACAGGGTCCCTGAGAAGCTACAGTTGAATGTGCAGAAGAGCCTTCTAGAATGGAGAAATTCCTTAGTTTCTAATATAGTTTTTCATTCCAATCTTGGCAAAGTCACATTGTGTATATCCTTATTACTAGAACAATATTATTTTGCTATAGACACATTAGTGTTTGGAAACCATCCATGTTCTTTGGAAGGATTCTTCTCCCCTTTGTCCTTTGCAGCTCTCATCTTATATTTAAGTACTTTCATGACAAAGTAAGATTCTGCAAACTGATATCTGTTTTCTTGAAAGTAAGCAAAAACAAAACAAAATTGAGACCTAGGAAGAACTACTTAATTCCATGGGTAGCTTTGCTGATCTCAAGAGTATTTTAATTTTATTTATTTATTCTTTTATTTTTGGTGGCACTGGGGTTTGAATTCAGGGCTTCAGCACTTGCAAAGCTGGTGTTGTACCACTTGAGCCATGCCTGCAATCCATTTTTCTCTGGTTGTTTTAGAGATGAGGTCTTGTGACCTATTTGTCTAGGCTGGTCTCAAACTGCGATAGTCCTGATCTCAGCTCTCAAGTAACTAGAATTATAGGCGTGAGTCAGTAGTGCCTGGTTTGAAGACTGTTTTTGAAAGTAGCCAGGCATAGGTTTGCCTAGTCATCTAAGAAGTGATTTTTACTGTATTTGCTTTCATAAGGGAGAAGGATAATATTGGACTATTTCTTACGAAAACCCCTATACCATGGAATGACACACTGTCAGCCTTGTGAAGTGTTGTATAGCAGTGTGATTGCTTCTGTTTTATGTCACTGATAAAGAATGTCAGATCAAAATGTTTATTAGAATCGATAAGGTGACCATCATCAATTAGTACTGTTCATTGGGATCTTAGGGTTTGTTTATTCTTCTTTGCAATGAATTTAAAATCTTGCTATTCCTAATTCACAGCTTAACCTATTTTTCTTCTTTCATCGAATCCAGCCCATAGTCACTTGTGGGTGCTGTTTTTTGTCTTTTATTGAATAAATATTTATTACTTTTTCTCTCCTTTCCAGCAAGTGAGCAGACAGGCTCCAGACAATCACCCGTTCTAACAGCTCTGTATTGCTTTCAGGACAAACTACTGCAGGCAAAGAAAGAAGTGGAGAAGTACTCTATTAACACTAAACAGGTGTGTGCGTTGTCTTACCTCACCTTTTCTGAACCCAGCCGCACAGTCGTAGAAAGGGAAAAGGTTTTACTTCATTGTGAATAGGTGATTGAAAGCATTACAGAATTTTCCTGATTAAAATACGTATTAGGCTCTTTTTAAAGAGGTGAAGTTGAATTGGCTGGGAACTTAAATTATTATCAAAAAAAATTGTCTAGGCTCTCATATACCTCCTCAAATAGCCAAATAACAGTGTCTAACAAGAAAATGATTTTATTTCAGCCATGTATTTAAAGAAACTTTATATGAATATTTAAGAAGAAAGAGTATGTAAAATTATGCGGTGTTGTGGAATTTATATATTTTATAATAACACATAATGACAAATTAATAGCTATACACCCATTACCCAAATTAAAACGATGGAACTTACCAGGGTTTCTGAAGTCTCTGTGTGCCTCATATCAGTTTGACATTCCTAAAACTATTCCAAGCCTGATTTTTGTGTTGATGCTTGTTTGCTTTTCTTTTCTTTAAAATTTTACTATCTATCGTAAAATTTGCTTGACCCTAGATAGTATTTGTTGTTGTTTTGGATATTTTTGAAGTTTATAGCATCTTTTTTTTTTTTTTTTGGGTTTTTTGTCACAGAAACTCACTGGGTTTCTCTCGCTGAACTCACAATCCTCTTGCCTCAGCCTCCTGGAGTGCCGAAATTACAGGCTTGCACCACCATGCCTGGAATCATTCCTATTTTCTTAATTAGCATTATTGAGATATAATTCCTGCTATGTACAATTGCCCTCTTCAAAGTGTACAGAGTTGTGCACCTGTCACCACAATCAGTTTTAGGACATTCCCATCCCTCCACAGTCTCCATATTCATCAGCTTCCTAGCCTCTTTCACCTGCTCCCTGCCCTAGCAAGTACTGATCTTGATTTATTTGACATCATTCATTTATGCATCTTTGTGCAACTCTCTTCATTCAGTACTACTTTTAAAATCCCTGTGCTGCTTCATAAAGGAGTTTACTTATTTATTCGCTTGCTTATTTTGATACTGGGTCTCCCTATGTTGCCCAGGCTGGACTTGAACTCCTGGGCTCAAGTCATCCTTTCACCTCAGCCTCCCAAGTAGCTGGGACTACAGACATGTGCCACTGTGCCCAATTTCACTTAATTTTTTTTATTGCTCTATAGTATTCAGTTGTGTGTCTAAACTGCTTTTTCTTATCAGTTCTACTGTTGGTGGAAATTTTGGTTTTTCTTTTTTTGTGTTTGTTTTGTTTGTGCTATTACAGAAGTTTTTTACTGTGTCTCTGTGCACATGTGCAAGGATGGAGCATTCCTTTCTGAGTTGTGGATACATGTGCCTTCTCGCTCACCACACCAAAGTGCTTACTTTCCCACCTGTGTGGATGCTCTACTTCCTTGCTAGCTCTTGGTGTTAGCAGATTTTCAATTTTTGCCTTTCGGATGAGTTTTAAATAGTCTTTCACTGTGCTGTTAGTTGCCTTTTGTTTTTTAGATAAGGTCTTGGCAGTCCTCTGATCCTCCTGCCTCAGCCTCCCACCACTGTACCCAGCCTACTTTTGTTTAACCATTCAGTGTGGCATTTTGGAGCTGGAGACAATGTTGATTATCATCGGCTCTGGTACCCTTATTTGCAGGGCAGAGGTGGGGACTCTTCACCCTTTAAGGTTCTGCACAGCCAGTAGACAGGTTTAGAGCTCAGGTGTGCTAGTCAGCTTTCCACCACTGAGACGAAACCCCTGAAATAATTAACTTATAAGAAGGAAAAGCTTATCTTGACTCAGGGCTTCAGAGGTTTCAGTCCATGGTTGCTTGGCACTCTTGCTTTTGGGCCTGTGGAGAGGCAGTACATTATGGAGGGGAGCGCATGTCAGAGCAAAGCTATTGATCTCCTGGTGGCCAGAAAGCAAAGAGAGACGGGAAGGCATCCAGGTCCCAATATCCCTTCAAGGGCACACCCCCCAGTAGGCCCTACATTTTAAAGGTCTCATCATCTCCTAGTAATGCCACGGGCTGATGATACCAAGCCTTGTATACATGGCTCTTGGGGACACTTACCTGAACTATAACACCAGGCTTCCTAAACGTTTTCCTGCTCTCTTCAGCACCCACCCCACACTCCCCCTGGACTCATAATCCCACCTGCGTGCTGCACACCATTCTTTGTGAATGTGCCTTTATTCATTGTACCATCACTGAATGTCAAACACTGCAATCTGTACTTCTAAAATTGTTCTTTGTCTCCATTGGAATGAGTTGCTTTTAATTTAAAAAAAAATCTTCAAAAAATATTTTGACACCTGTATATCTCTGATCATTTTTTTTTCCTTTTTAATAGGTGGTACTTTGTATCTCAGTTGATGTATCTCAAGACTATAACCAAGTTGAGAATGTCATAAAACAAGTAAGAGGCTGGGCTGGTTATAGTTCATTATTATTATTATTATTATTATTATCATTATTTGGTAGTAATGGGGATTGAACTCAGGGCCTTGCACTTGCTAGGTAGCTGCTCTACCACTTGAGCCACACGCCAGCCCTTTTTGCTTTAGTTATTTTTGAGAGAGGGTCTCACTTTTGGCTAGACCAAACTGGACTGCCTTCCTACTTACGCTTCCTGCATAGCTAGCATGGCAGGCACACACCACTGCACTCAGCTTATTGGGGTATCTTGAACTTTTTGTCCAGATTGGCCTTGAACCACAATCCTCATGATCTCTGCCTCCTGAGTAGCTAGGATTACAGACTTGAGCCACCATGCCTAGCTAATTGCTTGAGTTTGGACTGGTTCTTACCATTTTGCTATGTGGCTTGGAATTGGTAAATCTTCCCTGTAGGCTTAAGAGTTTCATAGATTTTATTTATTAGCTTTGATTTACTGCTAATTGATTCTCTTCTATCTCTTAATGCCACTCTGATGCATTTTTCTAGGCACAGGAAAAGCTGGGTCCGGTGGACATGCTTGTGAACTGTGCAGGAATGTCGCTGTCGGGAAAATTTGAAGATCTCGAGGTTAGCACTTTTGAAGTAAGTGAAAGTGTTTTCTCACTGGAGTAGACTATATATTAAAAGTAGAGTAAGCCTTGGATAAAGCCTTCAAGAATGAAATAGATGAATACCTTTGGGTATTTCTAGAAGTGTGAGAAGACTAGAGGAAGACTGACAAGGTTTTGGTCCCTCAGCTGTGACTATTGAAACTTAAGAGTTTGCACAAGTCTGTAAACCTCAGTTTTCTCAGCTGTAAAATGAGAACAGAACATCTAATGTGACATAGATTTCTGTTGTAATCTAATCTAATGTGGTATAGATTGCATGTTCAAGATAGCATCTTTGTCAACCAGCTGATGTTCGGTGTTCATGGCAGATGTCAGCATTATTAACAATGACAGACCAAAAAAGTTGAAGAACAGTCTTGTTGGAGTTCTCAAGTCAAGACAAGAAGATGATGTATCTTATTTATGTTTTAAAACAATTCCACCTTGGAACCTCAATTAGTGACTTACCTCAGCACCAAAGAAATGAACATTACGTTCAAAATCTCTTTTAAGTGCAAAATGTTTTGTAGTTGGCATTGCCTCAACCATCTTTTTCTTTGTGTTTTATTGAGCTTTCATTGTGGTAATGGGTTTGGAATGCTTGACTCTGCAAAGTTAAATTACTTTTCTCTCACAGGAAGGTAAGGAGACTGCTGGGTCAGTATTGTAGCTGTCTTTCTTCTCATAGTCTGTGGAAAAGCATCATAAATTCCAGGATGTACCCAAGACATGCAGGAATTTCTTCTCATAGTCTTTGGAAAAGCATCATAAATTCCAGGATGTACCCAAGACATGCAGGAAAGTTAGGGTGTAGATAGAAGCAAATGGTGAGACGCAAGTGTCTTAAGGCGCCTTTATCAGCATGGTGTGCAGAGAATTGTCTAGACTGGTACACCTTTGTTTGGAAGGAATGGGGGGGAGATTTGTAAAATAGTTGTTGTCTAGGCATGAAGTGATGAAGCAAAAGAATTGGGAGGTAGCCAGAAAAAGAAGAGTAGGTGTCTCTGTGTTTATGTGTGCGTGTGATTTCTAAACATGTGTGTGTGTGTAGGTAAGATGATAAAAGAGTGAGAATGTGCAGTCAACCTCACTAAACATTGCACAGCAAACAGTACCTGGACTGATGAATAATAGTTGTGTGGTTGTAAATGAATATGTGATTGGAGAGCCTCGACCCCAAAAGTGGGTTGTGGGGCAGGAGAAGTGGTGGTTTATGTTTCTGTGCGTGATGGCAGTGCCTAGGTAACCAAGTGAACCTTCTGTGGAGCTGGCCAGTTGTTTACTAGCAAGAGAATGTGAGGCAGTGTCAGTGACAAGGAGAAAATGCAAAGCATGTGTGATCACAACTCACTGCTGCAGAAATTAAGCAGGTCCCTCGTGACTCCTCTGGGAGAGGATTCTTGGAAGCTTGCTCTGGGTTTCTTCTGGACTTTGCCCGGGTGTGATTTCCTTCTGCTGATTTTGTGCCTGTGTTTACCCTCTAATGAGTATTAGTCATGACTGTGACCATGTGGCTGAGGATTTTGAGACCTTCTAGTGAATCAGCAAACTTGGGGTGGTCCTGGGGAACCCAATTCACTTCTCTGCATCTTCCTTTTAATTGTTTCTTCATGGCTTCTTGGTGCTGTACCTCGTCAACCCTAAGCCTGAAGATAGTGAGATTTATCTTTATTTGTAAGGTTTCTTTTGTCCTTTCTTTATCTTTGCTTCTTCTGTGACTTTATTTCTAGTCAGAAGCCAGTGGCTCTGTATTTTGTGTTGGACAGTGTCTGGTGATCCCTGGCCGTGTTTTCACATTAAGAATGGGACATTCAGGGCCCGAATGGGGAGTTCTGTGCCCGTGAGTAGCACTGCTTGGTTTGAAGTCCTCTGTAGGGTGATGGTTTAGGCTGTGTCTTCAGGGGGATTCAGGGTCAGTCTCTGCAGGTCTTGTCTCTTGGGTTGATCAGAAACCCTGAAGACAATTCTTAGCCTCCTGCCTAGGAAATATGTTCCTGTCTGCAATGTTGTGAGAGTGAAGTGGGCGAGAGAGTTGGTTTCTCTGTGGTCAGTGTCTAGACAGACTTTCTAGATAAAGTGAGAGTTAAAAGTCCCTTTTCTGCTCTGTGGAGAGGGGGAGGGCCTCAAGCATTGCACTGTTTTGTTGTTGTTACTGCCCCAAAACAGCGTTTTTTAAAAGTGAGGTCAAATACATAAACCTAAAACGAGCTCTTTCGTTTGTTTGGTTTTCTTTGTTTGTTTGAGATAGAGTCTCTGTGTAACCAAGGCTTGCCTTGAAGCTGATAGATAGCCGAGGCTGACCTTGAACTTGTGATGCTCCTGTTTAGCCTATTGAACGGTTGCTTCCAATTCCTGGACCCATGGCCATCACCAGTCAATCTGTAAGCATGTGACACATGCCCGTTCATGTCTGGCTTTTCACGGTAGCATGGATTACTTCTCATTTTGGTCTACAGGTTGGTAGATATACCACGTGTGCTTATCTGTTTGACGGTGAGACATCTGGGCTGTTTCCTCCTGACTTTCACATAGGCTTTTAGTCCTCTCTGCTGTCTTTCAGCCCTGTGCCTCCATCCCACTGCAGACGTAGCTTCTGTTGCTTGAGCCTTTGGGGTTTCTGTGGTGTAATTCTGCCTTCTAGTTCCTTTTTTCCTGCTTAGCATTGTTTTCTATGTTCTGCCAAAGTAGTCATCGCTCCTCATTCTTTTCAACTTCCAAAGTGTTATTGCTGTTATTTTCATTTCTGTTTTCTTTGTCCTTCCTGTTTTTTTGTGGTGCTGGGGATTAAACCCAGGTTCTCACGAATGAGAGGTAAGTGCTCTATCACTGAGCCACACCCATAGCCAGATCCTTCCCTTTAAAAAACCTCTACTGAAATTTTTGCAGGGTACCTAAAGGAGCTGAGGTTAACTCAGTGAGCCATCTTTTTTCATATACTTAATTATCAAAACAATATCATGCTATTAAAACATTCTGTGAAAAAAAAATGGAAGCCCAGCATCCTAATATGATCACAATTTTCTGTATGTCTTTGGTTTTGCAAAATAAAATAGTTACAGTTGTAGTTTAAGTATTGCCTGCCTTCTGCTGTTTATAAATTTACAACGTAATCCTGTTTCTGCTCACTATTTTTGAAAGTTGTTTACCATCCTATTGTGTTTACCACATGATTTATGTGCAGTTTCTTGGTTAAACTATGTAGATTTTTGTAATGATGGATCTAACATTTGTATAAGACTTTTATGTAGAAACATTTAACATCCGTAGATTCTTGAGTTAACATTTAAGGTATTAAGCGTTTTCAGGATGAGGGAAGCATAGCTGTTTGTATCTTTGTAAGTTCTTACCCATCTAAACGTAAGTGCCAACATCTAAGGAACATTTACTGTGGGCCAGGAGCTGCATGAGGGCTTCCCTTAAATTTTCTCTTCTAATTCCTGCAATAATATCCTGAGGTAATTCCAAGATTAACTTTATTTTCTGCTGAGAAAACTAGTAAAGTCTGCTTTCTCATTCATCTTCAAACAGGTAGTAAACGGCAAAGCCAAGGCCTAAACCCCACGAGATCTTTCCTTAGCTTAGAACTAGTAGGACTGGAAATATTCAGAAGCTCTGTCCTAGTACTGTCTTTCAAAAACTATCATCTACAATATGCCATATATTTTTTATAAGGAGAACACTAATTTTCACAGGATTTCAGCCAAGATGTGACTGTTGTCATTGTGAGAAATCAAGACTACATTGAAATAGGCTTCAAAGGGCAGGCCCCAAGCGTCAGGTCTTATCTGCAGGATCATTTAATCATGTAATCATTCATTCACTTACCAGATCTCTTGAGCTCCCCGTTTCGTAGATGTCCATGGAGAAAAGCTGGGAAGACACAGAATTCCCTCTGATCAGGCTTTTGACCTTGTTTCCTCCTCACGTGTCTTCTTTGTTCCCTGCAGAAGTTAATGAGCATTAATTACCTGGGCAGCGTGTACCCCAGCCGGGCAGTGATCACTACCATGAAGGAGCGCCGGGTGGGCAGAATTGTGTTTGTGTCCTCCCAGGCGGGACAGTTGGGGTTATTTGGGTTCACAGCCTACTCTTCATCCAAGTTTGCCATAAGGGGACTGGCTGAAGCTCTGCAGATGGAGGTAAAAGTTACTTTCGTGCTGGTATTTACTCCTCTAGCTTAGAGTTTGCTAGCTCCTTCACACATACTATTGTATTAGAGTTTGTACAGTTGACATTAGTGCAAGAGAATTAACTCAACCCTGAGTTTTGCAATTCACCCTTCTCGTTGCATGAAGGTTATATTTATGGCAGAGGCAAAGGGGATTGTGGGATTTTTGCCTGTTGAATATACAAAGTGCGAGTAAAATCTTCATGTTATTACTGGTCTAATATACTGGTATATATTTAAGGTTAGATTTTTTTTTTTATGTAGAGATCTTTCTTTAACAAAAAGATCTGTCCTTATGATTGACTAATAAAATTAGTAATGTTCATTGGGTGTGATGATATATACACCTGTAATCCCAGCACATAGACTGAGGTGGAGGATCACAAGTTTGACATCAGCCTGGGGTACATAGTGAGACTGTGTTTCAGAAAAGAACAATAAGAGTAAATGTTGAAGGGAAGAGCTTGAATCAGGTACTAACTGTTATCTTAACTTGTCTCAGTGACCTCATCTATAAAGCGAGAGGCCTAGAATTAAAAAAAAAAAGTCATTCAACTCTCCTACTCCTTATATTTTTGTATCTTAAATGTTGAAGAAAGTGAGTGCCTTTTCTTACAGTTACTGGAACATGTGGAGGAAGGGTATAGTTAGGATTTGCTTAAGTGTCATGTTAGAGCAGCCTTACACCTCGGCTCTGGGAAGTAGACTTCGGTGTCACAGTCACATGTGAGGCGTGGGAAGCATCACAAATGTGTCACATGGCTAAAGAGGCAAGGTAAAATTCTTTCTCTTGCAGTGTACATTGAAGTTTAACACTACCTATGATGTTACCTGATGGACCACTTAGAGGTTGATAGACTGTGCTGTTCTTCTACCAAGGGAACCAGCCATCAGATTCACTGTTACCAGCTGGTGAAATGCCCTTAATCAATAATAGATCTGAGGACTGGGCCCTGAGTTCAGTCCCTGGTTACTCAATCCTTGGTGATTGCAGTATGCTAAACCAATAGGACATGCAGGGCTGTGAAATTTCAAACAAAGAGACTGGTATTTCTTTTGCAGTTGTCATTTTGAAAGGTGCTAGGTCACTTTGTGAGGTACTAGGGTTTGAACTCATGGCCTTACACTTGCCAGGTAGGCACTGTATTGCACCACACTCCCAGCCCTTTTTTGCTTTAGGTATTTTTCTACTAGGGTTTTGCATTTATGCCCAGGCCATCCTGGGCAACCATCTTCCTATTTATGCTTCCTGCATAGCTGGGGTGGCAGGTGTTCCACTTTGTCTAGCTTTTATTGATTGAGATGGGGTCTCATGAACTTTTTGCCCCTGCCATTCTCAAACCTCAATCCTTCTGATCTCTGCCTCCTGAGTAGCTAGGATTATAGATTTAATCCACCATACCTGGCTCGCCATTTTATTTTAATTTTGTGAAATATGTGAGGCAGGGATTCTTATGTAACCTTATGAGACGAACACTGAGTTTTCAGTGAATTCGATGAGTTGTTTAAGTTACACAGTTTCTTAGTGACAGAAATAATAACAAGGCCTGACCCTTTGACTACCTGTTTGTTGGTCTTTTCAGCAGAGCAGACATCCATAATTCAAGTCAGAAGTTGCCCTTTTCACCTGGCTGCTTGCCCAGCCCTTCACTTTGGCCTTAGAATCTTGTAGGTGAAGGTGTTTTAGAGATGAAAAATCTGCTCACTGGGGCTTTCCCCCCGAGTCTTATCTTGCAGAGCTATGTAGGATTTACTCATTTAGGGCAAAGCATATAATCTAGGTGGCCTGGTTTCACTTCAAGTAGAACAGAGATGCTAATTCAGAAGATGGAAAAAAAAAAAAAAAACCCTGCAAGTCCTAGTACCAGATCCCCTCAGCCTCTTTGATGACAAATGATTTGCACTCTGCTAGTAGCTGACCTACACTTGAAAGTCTACTTGACTTCAGTCTATAAAAAATGTCATCACTTAAACAAAAAACAAAATAGATAGATACCATGAAAAATGTGTGCTGTTTTATTTGGGGGAAATTAAGCCAGTCTTTAAAATCAGCTTTTTCAGTGTAGAACTTGGAATAAACCAATCATTTTCCTACAAAGTGAGAGGAGGGTGGTTGGAAACCTAGTTGATTTGGTCAACTTCTATGAATGAAACTGATTTAGTTGTTCAAGCTCTGAGTACTTTTGATAATCTTTTTGGTGAAATTAACTTTTAAGTCTTCCTGTCTCCTTCTATATAGGACCCTAGAAATGTTGTAGGTATAGTGAGAAGTTTAAGAGAATGATTTGTTGACATTTTTGGGGAATTTTTTTTCTTAGTCTTTTAGGTACAAATATGTCGTCTATAGATTTTAAAGCTTAACTTTTGTAGAAAGCAGATTTCTGGCATGGGTATAGCCAAAGATGTGTTATCAGAGACACAGCCAAAAAAAGCAAGGGTTTACCCTCCTGCTTCTCTTAACCCTGTTGGATCCCACCTCTTACCTCCATCTCTTTCTACCATGGTTGGAAAGTAAGCTGGAGCTTAAATTCTGGACTTCCATGTCCAGCCTGTGTCCTTGCTTGAATGGAATGAGGAACAATGCATCATAGGTTAGATTATTTTAATAACAAGTCAGTTCTTGAACAAACAGTCCATTGTCTTCCGAAGTTGGGGAAGGGAGTGGGGCAGAGAGGAGGATGAAGAATGGTCAGTACATAGGGACAAGGAGAAGCAGACAGTGGCTAGCTCAGCAGAGTTCAGTTAGTGAAGACCTGACTTCTACATTCTTAGAAAAAGAAGTAATCTCCAGGGTCAGACTTGTTTTATCAAAGAGAGAACCAACGTTACCACATTTCTTTGTTGGTACGTGAATGAGAGTAACAGTTTAAGAAAGGTGCAGATATAGCTTAGACTTTAGGAAATTATGTGACCAAGAGTTTCAGGATACCAGAGGCTCTGTGAGGACAGGGATTACATCTGTTTTTTTCATACTTGTATGGGCTGTCTAATTTAATTACAGCTTTTGTTGAGCTATCTTTTTTTGGTCTGTGCATAACAGAGAACAAGGCCGTGGGAGACAAGTTGTTTTTTTTTAAGTCACTGTCAAAAACAAATATGAGAGAAATAGCTTGCTCATCAGCCTCTTTCCCTGGCTTCTGTCCAGAGGCATTTATGAGCCTGGCTTGGCCAGGAGGCTGCACACCCTGCCTATGTGAAGCTATGCAAGCTCTCATGCCCTGACCGTGTTGGAACAGAACCAACAGAGACATCCCCTGTTCACTGTTGCACTTCCCAAATAGTTGGCCAAGACTTCTGGTTGCTTCTGCTGACCCTTGCACCCTCCCCATTAGGCTTTGGAGCTGGGCTTCACTGAGTGAACCTGGAAGAAAAGGGGCCAAGTGATAAGATGGGACCCTGGGACACTCCTAGAGGCTGTCACATTAAGTCACAGTATTGCCACTTTTCAGCCTATTGTCAGCTTTTCCCACCATAAGATTTACAGTGGCCAGCATTACTATTAGCTGCTCCCACTTCTGAATCCCCTTCATGTCTTCCTGAGGAGTAAAAAGTGAGCCAATTGGAAATAAAAATCATGGCGAAGAGATTTTGATGGTCTCAATCAAATTATTATTGGGACAAGAGAAGAGTGGGCAGCAGGGCTGTTGCTGGGCTGTCTTTGGAAGGACATGTTCTTCCCAAAAAAGAACCCACTGAAATTACTGGGATGTTTTTATGTGTGGGGGAGTTGAGTGGGAAGACAGGTTGGTAAGGTAAACAAATGTCATAAGAGCTAGAGGATTAGGCAAATGAGCTGTGGGAAAAGGCAGGGGAAGGAGTTGCTATGTGTAAATATGCTCTTCAGCAAACTCGCCAGGCTGGTCCTACTTGGAGGTTCCACCCAGGATAAGGATGCTTTTTGCTATGGGGGAGGAAGTGGTTCCTGACTCCCTGATGGGGAAGGGATGATTGTACAGGGGCTTCTCTGAGAATGGATGTAGTTCCAACCTTGGGCTTGGGGACACAAGATGAGTATAATGGAAGGAATTTGAATGATCCCAGAATATTTTGCAGATGGAATGAACATAAAGAAAATATCAGAAGCAATCTAAGGGAAGACAGATTTGCTGTCTGGTCAGCCAGGAGTAAACGTGCCTTGAAATGGTGCTTACATTGTGCAGAGTCTAGGGGCATGAGTGGACTTCGATTTTAAACACTGCTGTCACTGGACAGCTCCCAGGGCCTCTCCTTGGCCAGCCTGGAAGAAGTTTAGTAGGAGGCAGTTTGTCATACTTTAAGGTAAGCCATTTTCTGACATAGAGGCCAAAGGAAACTTTTTGCTGCCTTTCCTAACTCATCTCTATGAAAAGGGATTCTCAGAGTAGTTAGTGCTCATTCTTTCCTTGCAGATTCACCCTGTTGGTCTGATTACCTTCTGAGAATCAGGGAAGCCACAGTAGGCAGGTGAGGTAGAATGCAAAATTGTGTCATTTACTGAAGGTGAAAAAGAATGAAAGCAACACCATGTGTTCAAGTGGGACCAAAAGGAGATTTTTAGTTCTGAGCTGGGATTGAGTAAGTTAGAAATACATACAAAGTTAAGCAAATGGAGAGGCAAGAAAGGAAATATAATTATAGAAAGGCTTAGGTGCAAATAGTTATAAATTCTTTGTCTATGATGCAGGTGAAGCCTTATAATGTTTATGTGACAGTGGCCTACCCACCAGACACAGATACCCCTGGATTGGCGGAAGAAAACAAAACAAAGGTCAGTATTTCTGCCCTTCCTGTTCTGTTCTGAGTCTCTGACGTTGTAAACCCTGTTCTGATTTTCTGTTTTTTACTCCAGTTCACGTTCCCTCCATAGTCAACAGGTTTGCTGAGTGTCGCCTGGTACCAAGTGCTGAGCAGGGACGTAAAGACCTCTTTCCTCCACGGGAACCTCTCTTCCTTTCTTCTCTTCCCCATCCCATTTTCTTGACGTTCAGTTAAAATTTTTATTAAACTTTCACCAAGAATAGCTATCATACATCGTCAATTGCCTAGCATCAACCTTCAGCATCATTTCTCCCACTCCCAAGAGACAATATTTATTTAACCCACATGTTGAAACTCCTATTTTTTTTTTCAGATTTAGAAATTATTTATTGATTTTCTGCTGTGGAAGATAAAATGTAAGACTCATAGTTATTCTCCACTCCCTGTGTTCATCCTGTGCAGTCTATTTAAATCCTATTCAATGCTTACAACTTTAAATATTCACACCTGAGCCTTGCTATAATGCCGTTCCTTTCTTTCCTTTCCATGTGCTTAACTCTGTATATATCAATAACTAATTCAAACCAAGGCAGATCTTCTGATCCATTTGAACATACCATGTCACCTTCATCCTGTTTTCCTTGAAGACGTTTCTCCTGGGCCTCCACCTTTCTGGCCCAATCTATACCTGCTACTCTTCAGTGGTTATGACACCATCACGCTACAGGTTCCCTTTCCTGTTTCCTTTATTGGGTCAGTGTCTTCTACTTTTGTCACTTATTTGCCCATTGTGGTGGAGCTTTGGTAACTTCCTGATTAAAGGGTGAATCCAAAGTAGCATTTATTTAAGGTCAGGTGTGGTGGCTCACATCTGTAATGTCAGCTACTTGGGAAGGAGATAGGAGGAACACAATTCAGGGCCAGTCCAAGCCAAAAAAAAAAAAAGTTAATGAGCTCCTATCTCAAAGAACAAGCCTCTTAGGGGTGACGCATGCCTGTAATCCCTGCTACACAGGAGGCAGACCTGTGCAGAAAGCATGAGATATCTAAAAAATAGCTAAAGTAAAACGGGCTAGAGCCATGGCTGAAGTGGTAGAACACTTAAGGCCCTGAGATCAAACCCCATTACTGCCAGAAACAGAAGAAGAAGAACAACAGCAACAAAAATAAGGTAACATTTGTTTAGAAGCTGCTCCTCTAAAAATGCTATTTTCCCATTATGCTTGATGAATTGTTTTGTTGGATTCAGAATCCATGGTTGGAAATGACGACCCCTCAGATTTTTACAGGCATTCCTCCACTGACTTCCCTCCACTGACTTCTGTCTTCCAAAGTATCTGCAGGTAACCCTGTGCCATTTTGATACCCACCCCTTTGTATAGGATGTATTTTTTTTAAGTTTTTGTCCCTTTTTATCTTTATATAATGTTCCCATTTCATATGCTAGACCCTCAACTGAGCCCTTTTATTCTGACAACTCATAAACTTCAGTTCTAGAACATTTATTATGTTACTTACTGATCATTTCCATTTATTCATAGAATTTCAAGTGTTCTTTCTGGACCTTCTGTCACTCAGATGTCAGACTTTCTGGACTGACCCTCTCACTTCTCGTTTGTTCTGATTCTCTTTCAACTTTTCTGTTGAAATTTTTATTTCTGCTGACACATTTTTAAACGTTATAGCTCCTTTCGTGGATTTCTTTTCTTTTTCCTACAGACCTTCCTATGGGGACTTTGGTCTTGTTTTATTTCTGTCCTTGGTTTTTTTGTTTGTCTGTATATTTTTTTCTGCTATAACCCTGCATAATCAATGTCTCCCAAGAATCATTTTCTCTGCTAGTGTTTTTAGGTCATCCTTCAAATGTTGGGTGATCCTTGGTTTCCATATTTGGGTGAGGCACTAAAATGCCACTTATAAAACTCTGTCTTCCCAGCTTTCTTGGGTGATGGGAGTAGGCATTCATGTCATTAACAGCCCGCCTTCCCTCAGCGTCCCCTCACCTTTTCCATGGTTCCATCAGTTTCCCCAAGGAGGAATCCTGTAGTTTCCTGCCTTCTGGAGAGGAAGACCAGCTCTGTGTGTCATGAGATCTGGCAAGGCAGAAGCCTGGGGAGCTCACCTTTTAGCACCAGCTGCTGCTTAATTTTTCTCTTTCCAGTTTCTTTCCAATTTTTCTCCTTTTATAACGGCTCTGAATGTTGGCTGTAAGCTGCTAATCTGATCTTCTGTCCTTGTAGGGACAGGACCTGGGGTTTGATGATTTGGTCCTTCTAACACTGGTACAGGAACATTATTGTAAAGTGACTCTCAGTCATCCTGAGTTGAATGCAACTTCACACTGTATTCACTCCTCTTTGCCTTGACACATAGTAGGTGCTTTCTGAGCAAACACATAAGTAAAGTGGGAAGGAAGAAATCAATCAGAATTTGCCACCTCAAACTCAGATTGATTTTAGTGTTAAATTAAAAAAAAATTCTTTTAGATTTTGATTTTCTTTTCTATTTTAGTAATACTTAGTAAATGTGAGTCCCATAACATAAAAAATGACTCGCATTCCATAGACTATATTTTCAAAAAAGAAAGATGTTTATGATTTGGAAGCTTTATTCCTATGCTTTTCTCTTTGGTTCAGCCAGTTTTAAAATTACTACTGATTCAAAGAAGTAAATTTAAGCCAAATGTCCTGCCTTAGAATAGGCAGAAATCTGCAAAGCAGATTTGAAACATTTTGTGTGCCTTCTTAAATTTGAAGTCAAAGCTGACAGGGTGGTTACTTTCCTAATATTTGATTTTGTTGTGAAGTTGGGTTTATTGCCTCAGTGAAACTTTGGGCAGGCTTCTTCAGATAAATAAAATTCTGCAGTGATCTGTGGGCCCTTTAGGGGGCGGCACGGCACTTTTAAAAGTTCTGCATCTGGCAAGGCCATGCTGCCAGGGTGGTTTGGAAAAATGAATAGTGGTACCTTCAAAGGGTTCTTTCTCTTTATCCAGCTTCATCAAGAAATGCTTGAGTTCAGGGGATGGTGATGTGCACCTGTAATCCCAGCTACTTGGGGAGTGGAGGCAGGAGGCCCCCAAGTTCCAGGCCACCATGGGCAAAGCTAGCAAGACCCTATCTCAACAACAGAATAAAAATGAATGGGCTGGGGGTGTGACTCAGCTCTGAGTTCAATCCCGAGGACCTCAAAGACAAAGAAGACATACTTCAGCTTTTATTTTTCTAAGACTCCGTGTTCAGTAAAATTTAGTTGCCAGCAGTTTAAGGCTTTGGTTTGAAACTCCCTTTTAAAGAATTTTGGATCATATACATGCAAAGGTGCCACAAAAAAGAGTCAAAGATAAATATTTGTGGTGGGGGAATATCCTGCTACAAGATACTTTAGAAGGTGAAACACAAATATGAAAGTAGTTGTAATGCATGTTAAGGCAGAAGCATTCAGAGAGAAAGAGGGAGATTTTTCTTCTGGTTAAGGATTTGGGAGGGGTATCCTGAGCTAGATGAGGGTTGAGATGGACCTTCAACCACCTTGTGAAGAATAAAAAGCCAAGACATGGGGTTGAAGTCCAGCCCTGTAACTAGCCTCAGCCAAACTAGGGACTGCTCGGTATTGTCTCCTAGGAGCACCTGTTTGAGCATCCCGTCTCTTTGCTGCCTCTGCAGCTCCTTTAGGAAAACAGCTAGAGTTCCTGGACAGGGGCTGTGTTGAGACCATCCACTTCCCAGGTGCCAGTCACCCGGTGACCTGGGAGTTTGGTCAGGGTGGCGGTGATATCCTGGCACCCAGGGTCCATCCAGCATCTGCACACCATCAATCAGGGATCTGGTTAGCAGGACTCAAAACGGGTTCTGTTGTAGTGGGACCCAGTGCTGTGTTTTACTGTAGCTTTGGTGGTTCTGGTTGGAGTTGAGATTATACTTGTCTCACAGCTAGGGCCTCCTTGTCTTGCTTCAGCCACTGGAACAAACGTTCCACAGTAACTGGGTAAAAACTGATTCATAACCCATATAGTCTTATTCAAAAATGGGAATCTATTCAAAGGTAGAAAATCAGAATTATTTGTAAATCAGGGGAGCAGTAGACTTAATTATTTTTTGGCGGTGCTGGGGATTGAACTCAGGACCTTGTACCTGCTGGGCAGATGTTCTACCATTTGAGGCATACTCCTATCCCAGCTCGTTTATTTTATCATACTGGGTGATGATTGCATTGATAAACATTTTTTCCACTTTCAGCCTTTGGAGACTCGACTTATTTCAGAGACTACAGCTGTTTGCAAACCTGAACAGGTGGCCAAACAAATTGTTAAAGATGCCATAGTAAGTAAAATTCTTATTTTGTTCTCTGTACTATTTGTAGATAAACTGTACTTAGATGAAAAGCATTTATTCAAGGACTTATTTCAGAGCAAGAGTCATTGTAGCTTTTTGGCCAGACTCATCATATCTATATTGACTCTAGTTTTCTTCCTGTAGACTCTTTATTGATTCTCTTTAGTACGAGGCTTCTAGAAACACTGATATGCCTTAATCTTAGGGACAAATCGACCAGTAATGATGTCTGGAACTTCAGTTCTTGAAAAAGAAAATGAGACTTATCTGTGAGACGCAAACAGTTTATCCTACTTAGAACTTCTTGATTCTTTCTTCTTTCCCATAGTTTCAGATTATTTTAGCTGCCTTTTTGCCAGACTCACTGATTAAGGGTTTTCTTTCTCCTTCCTGCTTCCTATTATCATTTTTCCCAAACTTAACTGACGAGCAGGCACAGCTAGCCTGTGGGCCCATCACGCTGTCACTTCAGCTGATCTGCTTTCCCAGCTACCGAGTTTACTGAGAATCAAAGATGGTACCTTTCAACAACTGTGTGCTGGTTTGAAAAATTGCATCCTATGTGACATGCTTTTCAACATCTCCATTATCCCACATGCAGAAAAATGTACACCTGAGGGATGTATGTGAGCCTGTCCCACACTGACTTTGGAAGGTTTTTAGTCTTCATATGGGGTACAGTCTCAAAGTAGCATTAGGACTGTTATGTCAGGCTGAAGTGAGCAGAATAAAAGAAATAGTGACCTCTATTAAAATATACACAGAAGTTGGGTGCCCATGGTTTACAACTGTAATCTTAGCTACTTGGGAGGTTAAGATCAGGAGGATTGTAGTTTGAGGCTAGCCCAGGCAAAAAGTGCACAAGACTCCATCTTAACCGATAGCTGGTTGTGGTGGTGTGCACCTGTTTTTCCAGCCTTCCAGTGGGAGGCTCAGGCCAGCCCATGCCACGAAAAAAATGTTTGTGAGATTCCATGTCAACAAAAAAACTCAGTACAGTGGTACATTCCTGTCATCTCAGCTGTGGCAGGAGGTATAAAACAGGAGGGTCAAGACCCAGGATGGCGTGGACTAAAAGCAAGGCCCTATCTCCAAAATGACTAGAGAAAAAGGAGGTATGACTTTACAAATGGTAGAGCACCTGCCTAGTAAGCATGGAGCCTGCGTTCAAACACACGCAGAAGTAGTCAGCTTTGCCTGGAACAAATAACATGGGTGGGAGTTTGTTTTCCCTGCTTATCTCAAGTCAAAGCAAGCATGCTCACAGTTTTTAAGTGATCCTAAATAGCTCTTCCAATTTTGGCAAGATTTGTGCAGTGGTTTTTAAACAGTTTCTTCTCTTGACCACTTTACATTCTTGAATCATTGACAACCCCTGAGAACTTTTGCTTATGTGGGTTATATTTATTGATATTTTCCATATTAGAAGTTAAAACTGTAATTTTAAAAAAAGTTATGAATTAACTTGAAATAACAATAATAAATCTATTACATTTTAATGTTAGCATGACTTTTTTACAAAAATATTTTTTTGAAACCAAAATTCAGTGAGAAGAAGGGCATTATTTTATATTTCTACCTCTCTCTTCAAGGACTAAAACAAGTCGGCTGAATTCTTATGGCTGCTTCTGGTTCATCTGTTGTAATATATTGTTTTGACTGAGACATTTGAAGAAATTCCAACCTTACACCTTATACGTAATTGGAAGAGGGAGAAGTATTTTTTTTTTTGGCTAGGTTTTCAGATAATTTTGGGCATAATTTTCTTTTTTGATATTAAGCCCAAACTTGACAAATGGCAGTTTCTCAAAGGTTAGTTACAATGTGAAGTTGGAAACAGCATCAATGAACTTCTTGTTCTCCATGACATTAAAATCCATCGGTCTGTCTTGCATTTTGAGTGGATCTTTTACCCATTCATGATCTTGTAACATGCATTAGTCATTTGGAAAATATGGATTCAAAAAAAAGTTATAAAAAAAGTCACATTTGTCAGTATCACTGCTGATCTTATCATAAAAGTATGTATTGGGAAGCAAACAATCTCATGATGACAGATACAAATTTTCAGAAATCTTAATTTTTCCCTAAAAACCCAGATTTATCATTGCTCATCACGGTTTCCTCTAAGCAACAGGTTCACTTAATACATTTTCCTCAAGTTTGCTGTGTACTCAAGTCTGATTGACCATAGGTTGCTCCTGAGTGGTTCTTTCATAGGAAAGTGATGTCCATCAACAGAATCAGCTCTTGAACAGTTACATAAGGGCATTTCTGCCAGGCAGCCATTATCCTTTGCTAGTCAGCAGTAACCACAGAAGCACTTGATGTAAATTTCTCATTTGTCACATGGCGTACTATGGTACCCCCATCCCTGTTCTCTGGGAATACATTCCAAGACCCCTCCTAAATGCCCAAAAATGTGGATAATACTGAACCCTACATCTACTGGTTTTTTTTCTATATATACATATAGTTATGAAAAAGTTTAATTTATATACTAAGCATCAGATATGCTGGACAAAGGGATGATTCATGTCCTGGGTGGGACAGAGCTGGACAAAATGAGATTTCATTGTGCTACTCAAAGCAGCATGCAACTTAAAATTTATGAGTTGTTTATTTCTGGAATTTTCCATTCCTTGGTTGACTGTGGGTAACTGAAACCAGGGATAAAGGAGGGATCTCTATATTGAGAAGGCATGTCTTCTAGGGTTGTGAGTTAATCAAATGATTGGCTTTTCTGCTTCTTGAGAAGTAAAACAGACATTTAAAATTTTTGGAAGATTTTTGTAAATTGTATTCTCTTTGTGTGTTTATTACTGCAAGTGTGTATGGCAGTGGGGTGTCAGTGACTACAAGTAGTCACAGACAAGACACTGCTACCTGGCAGTGTTGCCCATCAGTGCGGTGTCACTGGTTCAAAGGGAAATTAATGCGTTAGTATTGTTATGACAATTGATCTGTCACTGGGGGGGAGGTGCCCTTGAAAGGGTGCTGGGGACCCGGTGAGTCTGTAGATTCACATCTTGAGAACTTTACATCTGCTAAGACCATATGTCCATTTTTGAGTTCTCATACATGCCTTGTTACCATCCTGTCCCATCCAAAGTAAATGAGTACAATTCATTGTTTCCTTTAAATTTCCTACAATTCCCTCTCTTTTCCATCTCTTTTAGCAAGGAAATTTTAATAGTTCCATTGGCTCAGATGGGTACATGCTCTCTGCCCTGACTTGTGGGATGGCTCCAGTAACTTCTATCACGGAAGGTCTCCAGCAGGTGAGTTCTGCCTTGGCCAGCAAACAGATAGACAGACAGACAGATGGACAAGATAAAAAGTACCTCTTATCAAACTTCCACCAGAAAAGGCTAAGGGTAGACTAAGTAACTTGATTTAAGAATACATTTTTTCTCTTCCTCTACCAGTAATAAATAGAGAGTGGGCAAAATATAACTAAAATAACATAGACTGGGAAGCAGTCATCAGTGGTGGACCCTGCAGGTAGATGAAGTGCTGTCTTTGGTGTTAATGAGTTTCCACGCAGAATCACTGTTCCAAAGTGTTTGAAAATAGAATTCTCTGTTTAGAGTAGTTTAGGGTGACCTTGTTTGCAAGTAATGAGATGTTAGACTGGAAAACCTTTTTTCTAGGTGAAAAAGAAAACCTTTTTTCTAGGTCACTAATAGCTAAGCTGAAAGAGACATAGTCAAGGATTAAACACAGTCCCTACTCTTCTGGAATCCTGGACACACAGAAGTTAATTGCTAGTCGACCTGTGGGCCAGATGTTCTTTGCTCTGGGAGGCAAAACCCTAGGATGGTTGTGACATAGTACTAAGTTTTATGCAGGAGGCTGTGTAAGACTAAAGCCAGTGACTTCTTTGTTTGTTTTCCTGAGGATCTTTCTAAGCCCTTCTCACTCTGAAGTATATCCACTGTCTTGTCATTCTCTGTGGCAGGAAGACACTGTTGGGTGTAAGCTCTTTGGGTACATGGCCCCTGTCTGTCTGATTTGTCATTGTGACCACTAGCCAGAGTCTGCTCTGAACAGGACTTCAGAATGCCTGAGTTGGACCAGTGTGTGAGGTCGATAACCTCAGCATGGGCGAGGTCTCTTCTTAGGACTTCCATACAAATGATGCTAAATCTAAAAGTCCAACCCATACCTAGTTCCAGACTCCAGTTCTGTTTCAGTTTCTTTTAGACATTTTCCCAGAAAGTGACTAGTCAGTTCCAATTCAACATATTCAAAGTAGAACTTCATACCTATTTCCCAAGCATCCTTCTACCTCCCCCACCTCCCAGCCAGAAACTGGGGAGTAATCCCTGACTCCCCTGCTTCTACCCCTCCCACCTAGCACCTGCTCCCTTTCTCATCACCCTATTCCTTGGTCTGTTCACGCTCTAAGCTCAGCTGCTCCCTGAGTTCAGGTCTGAGTTCCTGCAGTAGGCCCCTTGTCTGAGTTGCGTATTTTGAAAGTCAGAGGTTATAAATGGGGGGGTCCAAAGACCCAAAACCCATGTGCTAATCTATCTGGTATCAGTGTGCTTAATGAAAGTTTCAAAATTAGATCTTACATTTTAAAAAAGTCCAGATTTCAGACTATTCTGGAAAATCAGAATGTCCAGCCACATAGAATGTACTGCATTCTCAGCACACAGTAATCAGCTGGGACAGGTGGCAGCTGCCCCACAGATCTGGGCACATCTCCCCAGTCTCTGTAGTCTCCAGCACCCTGCCCAGCTCCCCCTGCCCCCTGCATTTGAGTGTGCCAGCTTATCTTCCATGCTGTGTTTCTCATCTGCAAACTGTCTTTGCATAAAACCCAGTACCATTGAATGAAGCTTAAATTCCAGCACATGGTACAAGCCCTCCCACCTGCCAGCCCCACTTCCTTTCCCTACCCCTCTGATCCTTTCTCTGTGCCCTTCATCCCCAGCCTTCTTTTGTCTACCTGACTTCCAGTCTTCCTTCAGGTCTCACTTTGCTTTCTCTGCAAAACTCAAGGACTGTGTTAAATGTCTATATTTAACTATTTATCAGGATATATCATAATTGCTTTTTCTTGAGGCTCCTCTAACCCCTCTAGTTTCTTTTTATTTTTAATAACACTTTATTTTTCAGGACAGCTTTTAGGTTTATATAAATATTGAGTAGAAAGTAGAGAGTTCTCATATGTCTGACCACCCTGTTCCCTTATTAGCATCTTACATTAATGTGGTTTGTTTGTTTTACTTGATAAGCCAGTATTGACCCATTATTTCCAATTAAAGTCTACAGATTACACTGGGCTTTGCTCCTGCTATTGTGTATTTGTGGGTTTTGATAAGTGCAGAATGTCATGTATCTAACACTACAGGGTCATGCAGAATAATTTCACTGCCCTAAAATTCCCCCTGAGCCCCTAGCCACCAGTGAGCTTTTTACTCTTCATAGTTGGGCCTTTGCCAGCCTCCCTTTGGTTTTTCCATTTTTCAAGGTTATCCTTGCATTGGTTCAGAGAATCAAGTAGTTTTCAAGGCTTGATAAGGAAAACAGTAGACCTTCCCTCAGTCTCGCCCTCTGCACCCTTCTCGGAGGCAGTCACCTGTCCTTTTACCACACCTCTCCTCTTTCCCCTCTTCGTGGAGAAAGGAACACTGCTTCCACTCTATTTCCTAATTGGCACATCACAGTAGTTGCCTTCTGTGATGAAAGATGATTAATTGGCTCTCTGTGTCCTCCTTCTCCCCACCCTCATTTTGTTGGATTAGTTATATTGTGCTTTTGGTTAGATTCATATTTGAGATTATTTTTGTGATTATGTAGATGCTGTTCATAGCTGAATATGTCACATATTATTTCTATTTTTCCTTTCTTATTTTGTTTTCCCTAAAATTTATTTTGGCCATTTGCTATGTGTTATTTCTGTATATTATTAATTCAATCTTAAATTCTCGCCGACTGTTGTAATCTCCTTGTGAGATGCTCAGAAAGACCAGATCCTGAGGCAGTTCATCTTCAGGGGGGATTCCTGCTGGAACCCAGCACCTGCCAGGCAACGCTATCTGCCTGCATACCTGGTGCATAGCTGATGCCTGGCTTCCTGCTTCCTGCTTCCTGGTGGTCCTAGGGCATCCCTCTGCCTCCCTTTTGTCTGGGGTGCCATGCTTCTTATATCACATGACAAGTTTCTTTCTTTGTCCACCCCCTCACTTTGTTTACCTCTTCTAGTAGCTTTCTAAACAAAGGATTCTTGGGAGGCAATTGTTTGAGTCCTTGCATATCTAAAATGTGTCCTTCTCTTTGTAGGTTTTTCATGATCCCATGTAAAGTTGCTTTTATGAGAGTCCATTAGTGGGCAGGGTAAATGGATATGGATAATCACTGCCTTAATCCTGAAACAGTAATTACCTTTTTTACTTGACTGTATTTCCAATTAACAAATATGCTCAAGCCAGGTGCTTGCCTACCTCTACGGCCAGCTACTTGGGAGACTGAGGCTGGAGGACCACTTGAGACCAGGATTTTGAGGCCAGCCTGGGCAACTTAGTGAGACCTTGTGTCAATAATAAATAAATAAATAAACAAAAGGATGTCTTTCTCACCCTAGTATTCTCAGCCCCTAGCATGGAAGTTTACTCTTGTGCTCAGAACAAATATCTTAGCCAAAGGCGCCTGGATTGTAGCTTGGCTATTTGGGATGCCAGGATAAATGTTCCCTAGCTATTGTAACCCTGCACTGCTAAGAATACCTATTTTGTTCTTTTTATGGTTGAAGGTCATTAATTGGACAATATTATCTCTCTGGCAGGCTCAGTGCTATACAGTGGTACCGAGCAGGCGTATTCCGTTCTTGGGATTTACTGACACAAAGTTTTCATTATCCTTGGAGCAAAGTAGATGTGTCCTAGAAACTATTTCTTAGAGACCTAAATACCTTGAAGTGAACTATTGTACTGTACTGTTGGATGAGCTAAAAGGTTTCCCTTTATCTTGCAGGTGGTCACCATGGGTCTTTTCCGCACAATTGCTCTGTTTTACCTTGGAAGTTTTGATAACATAGTTCGTCGCTGCATGGTGCAGAAAACAAAACCTGAAATTGCTGACAAAACTGCCTAATTCTGATCCCCTCAGACAAAAGACTGTTTCCAAATAATTTGAACAGCTTGCTGCTGCTACATGGGACCCAATTTTTGGCCTATAGACTCTTATGTCTTGTTTTTGAATGTGTGAGATTGGATCAGTGCCCTTCAGAAACCTGGGTCCAAGCAAAGGGATAGAATCAACTGCAAACAATGTTGTTAACACTATGCAAATATGGGATAGGGGACCCTTTGATTTTTCGGGGCTCCGAGGTGGAGTGATTTTAGTAGGAGAACTAATAGCAGGTGAACAGGGTAAAAGACAGAATGCCAGAATGGTAATTTAAATTTTTCTATTTATTTTTATTTTTTTATACCCCATAGAGATCAAGTCCAGAAAAATGTACTTTACAACACATACGAAGTTTTGAGGGTTTCTTTTTTTTTTAAGTTTATATAAAAGGCAGTGTCTGGTTTTGTTTTGTTTTGTTTTGAACTTGGTGTATTTTATTCAAGGTGAGTTTTACACACTGCCAGTGAGGCTGAATGTCACCGACACCTCTGTGTGGTGCTCAGGATGGAAACTGGCTTCTCTCTCTCTTTGATCCCATAGAGCTGCAAGGGGGATGGGAGGTGGCGATGCGCAGTGGAAGATGGAGAGATGAGCTTTGGGAAGAGAAAAATCAGTGCTTTCTTGTCTTCGTCAGACTCGAATGCTTAGGGACTTTTCATTTTCATTCATGGGGAAAGGTAGCCTCCTTAAATATTTTCTTTAGAGAATTAAAATCTTAGAAGCTTAAAAGTTTACAATTTCTTCCATAGCCATGAAGTTCACCTGAAGTTCACCTCTTCCATTCCGTTGTAGTGTCTCCTTTTCCCATTTTGCTTATACTGCTGTAATATTTTTGTAAAACAAACAAACAAAAAAAACCAGCTAAGATTTTTTTGGCTTTTTAAATTCATGAATTCATTAAAACAAACAAAAAAATTAAAAAGTGTGACATTCTTATCCTTGTAGCATATATGTAGCTTTTAGGAAATATTTTAGTTTTACTCACTAGGAAAAAAAAGATGGCTAATTTTGCTTTGAAATAAAGTGATTGCCTCTTCTCTCTGAGACTCTCCCGCTGACCCTGAGGGCAGTGCCTTCATGCCAAGTGTTAAGGAGCCCACTCACCCCTCTGTGTAGCCCTGGAAATCATTGTCACCGAGGAATGTGGTTTCTGGGTTACAGGATTGTTGTTCTACAGCAAGTGCCTATGACGAGTCTCAGCCGACATTCCCTTTCCATCCTGTTCATTACTCACTGTCCTCTGACTTAAAGACAGTTGCCATCATTTTGTTGTCATAGCCCCTTTTTGCATACACAGTAGTGCATTCCAGTTCACTTTTCTGGGAAAAGACCTTTTAAAGAAAAAGACTTTTAAAGAAAAAAAAACTTTTATATTGTAAAAAATACAAATAAATAAATAAAAACAAAAGCAATTAAAGATCTAGAAATTATAGCCAGCCTTGATTTCCTCTTGAGTTCTTGAAGCTCTTGTCTTTTGAGTGACTTAGTTTTTGATGAGTAAGATGTTTAATGGCTCCACTGGTATCTTTATGAAGATCTGAGAATGCATATTTTAAACACTGTTGCAGAGGACATTATTTAACATACCCATTGCTTGAAATAACTTCATTACCTTTACAGGACTAGGCTCATGCCAAATGGTTCCATGGATCTCCCAGGCTTATAGTCAAAAGTTTGCAAACTATGCAGAGTCAGCCTGGGCCACTGCAGAAATAGAAGAGCGGCTGTGTTTTCCCAATTCACAGAAAACAAATACATTAATATCTGAGTGTTTCTCAAGTCTGTTTTCTTATAAATGTTCCTTAAGTGTTGGCACCTTCTACTGCTGATCTGTAGTAAAATCTAATGGAAGATGGTGTCTGATTTAAGAAACTACATAACAATAGTTATTTCAGCATACTTTTTTCAAATGATCCTCAGAGGGGTAACTTTTATTCCAGTTAGTTTACTGCCTGAACAAATTCAAGAGCCCCTGGTCTGTGGTGGGAAGTAATTGATCCTAACTCAATTTAAGCTCAGGGGTGAGAACTGATTTGCAGAGATCCTCACCAAAGGAGTTTCTTTGGGCTTTGGGGAGCATGGAGTTAAAGGACCACACTCGCCCATCCAGACAACCTCGAAATGAAGTTTCTGTAAAGTCAATGTGCAGTTCATTAGCAAACTTGAGCTGATGTGATAGTATTGTTTTCATATGTGCAACATCCCATGCCTGTTCATTAATTTTGCCTGGAGAGGTATCAATGGGTTTGATTATAGGTCTTGCCCATACTCTGTGAAGGTGTTTTGTGATAGCCAATCTATTACCTTTTTAAAATCAAACAAACTGTGAATTCAGAAATACATCTGGGCCAAAGGTTTTGGATTTGGGATTGTAGACATTTAAATAGCGCCCCACAGAGCTCTGACTCCATCTAAAATGTGAAAACATCACAAGGAAAATTCTGCATTTTAAGTGTTTGGACTCCATTCTTGTGCAATGTGGTTTTCTGCTCAAGGGAGAAAGGGAGGTGGGATGTCCTCATTCCAATTGTTGGGGAAACTATTAACTTTTTTTGTGGGGGGAGGATTACATTGTTCTAGTATTTACTATACATCAAAGTGGATGAATCTTACCTATGGCAGTTGAAGGGCTTTTTTTTGTTTTGTCTTTTCTTTTGGTGCATGTGCTAAACCAGAGTTCTGCCACTGAGCTGTAGGCCCAGCCCTAGTATTTTAATTACAATCCTTAGACATGTTTCTCTGTATGTGACCACAAACAGCTTAGGCAAATTTCAGCTCTGAAGTACCTGCTTTACAGGTTTTGGTTGTACTGTTTTATTATAATGTATTTGTGAGTATATTTATTTTAAAAATAACATCCTTCAGCGCATAAATTCCAAAATATGTTCAAGGGCCCTTCATAATTGAAAATCGAATAAAAGACAATTTTCATTTCTTTTTACAAAAACAAAAATCATGGACTGATCCAGTGATGAGGCTAAGTGATAGAATGCTTGCCTAGCATACAGGAGGCCCTGGGTTTGATCCCAAGCAGAACAAAAACAGGAGAGTTGTTCTCTATACTTAAAATAATAATAATTTGCACAATTGAAGAAATTTTAGGACCAGGTGTTGTGGCTTTTTATAGTCCCAGTTACTTGGGAGGTAGAGATGGGAGAATCTCCACCTGCCTAGGCAGTGTCCTGCCTAGGCAATGCATGAGACCCTATCTGAAAAAATAAAAATAAAATAAAGCAAAAGAGCCCAGGACTCAAGGAGTAGAGCACTTGTCTAGCAAGCACAAGGCCCTGCATTTGAAACCCAGTACTACTGCTAAAAACAAACAAATGCTGTTGTGATGGTCTCTTACATATATTTAGTTATAAATATTTATCTGGATGTGTAAAACTGAACATTATTGCAAGTGAGACTTTAAGAGGCTTTTTAGTATTTAGATCATGAAAGCATTTGGGCAATAGTTCCTTCAAAGAATTGTATGTTTTTGTCTTTCTAGAAGGCAATGGCATAATTTTTTTTCTGAATTACATCATCAGATTTAATTTTTATTACATCATGTTGTAATTTAAATATGTATTATCCACTCAAGACTACCTTTAAATATTTGTACTTCTTGATGTAAGATGCTTTGTGTCTTTCTCATTTCCCTTAGTTCTTAGAACCCAGCTTTAAAAAATGTTGCTACCCATGATCTTCTAATTCTGGGCTAGATCTTGTTCAGATTATAGATAGTTCAGTGTAGTGACTATGGATTTTGATAAATTGAAGAGGAGATAGTCATCTTCTTGATGTGACAACTCTAAAGACTTTTTTTAATTGACAAAAGAACACATGGCTATTTTGATACATTTAGAACTTGTGTTTGCTACTTTAGAAGTTTTTGTGGCAGAATTGTAACCATTTTTTATATCTTGTATTTCTGAATTACAAAAAAATAAATGGGGAATAAGCTTTATACATCTGAGTACTTATTTTTTCTAGCAATTTGGGTTAAGAGACCAGTTAAGAAAAACACAAATGTCTTCTATATGTTATCTTGACTTGGCAACCTAAACGTTTCTCATTTCTTTTTGCAAAAGCAATGTCACAAAGCCTCATTTTAAGGAAGAATATTTTCAGTTTTTTTTCAAGTATGTTCTGCTTGATATAGGATATATGTGTGAAAGTTTTAAAAATGTGGAATTTAATAAATTTTCTTGTCATTATATTTCATATATAAGTGAATAGATTTCCCATACTTTACACCAGCATGTCCTCTCAATTAACTGTCTCCTAGTTCTGAAAGGTAGCAGACTGTACAAGAGTGATATGTAAAAGGAGCTACTTTGATACTCATCAGGGGGGTTTTCCTTTTTTTTTTAATTGCTTAATTAAAAATTAATTAAACAATTAATTTAAATTAATTAAACAATTAATTTTAATTGTTTAATTGTTGTGCTGGGGGTACATTGTGGCATTTACAAAGTTCATACAATATATCATACTTTAATTTACCCCCTCCATCATTCTCCTTTATCCCCCCTCCCCCATTCCTGGAATAGTTTCAACAGGTATCATTTTTCCACTTACATACATGAGTACACAGCATCTGCACTGTATTCACCCTCCCTCACCTTTTCCTCACCTCCTCCCCCTCCCACTGGTGCCAACCCCCCCAGGCAGATGCTCCTGTCCTTTGAGTTTGTAAAAGAAAAAAAAAAATAACATTTTTGTTTAAGATAGCTACGCAGGGAGTATCCTTGTGAGATTTCCATATATATATAAATCCAAATTGGTTCATCTCTATTTTTCTTCTTTCTGTCTTAGTCCCCTTCTTATACTGGTTTCAACAGGTTTAAAAATTCTATATTCATTCTTGTATAGAGAGTACATCAACCATATTCACCTTCTTAACTTCCTTCTTTTACCTTCCCCCTCTGGTATCTGATCTCCCATTAGTATGACCTGTTTTTCATAATATTGCTATATTTGTATTAGGTCTATATTCCACATTTGAGAGGAAACATGCAGCTTTTTGGCTTCTGTACCTAACTAACTGAAGATGATGTTCTCAAGTTCCATCCATTCACCTGCAAACTACAAAACTTCATTCTTTGTGGTTGAATAAAATTCCATTGTATGTAAATACCTTATTTTCTTAAGCCATTCATCAGTAGTGGGCATCTTGGCTGTTTCCATAGCTTAGCTATTGTGAATAGTGCTGCAATAAACATGGGTGTGCAGGTGCCTTTATTATAACCTAACTTACATTCCTTTGGGTATATTCCTAGGAGTGGAATTGCTGGATCATTTCATCAGTTCTTAAACAAAAAGGTTGGTCCCATTGAGAAGAGACTGTTCATATGTCTTGATTTACAGGCTTAACTTTTCTTTAAATTCATACAATTTATATTCACAAGTGGCATGTGATATCATTTTAATTTTTATGTTAGGATGTTAAAAAGAAAAAATGTGTTTCTTGGTTTCTATCCCGCTGCTGACTTTAGAAGTTCTGTTTTTCCTCATTCCACATATATTTCTTGAATACCAATGATGAACTCAATCAATATCAAGACCCTGTGAGTATAATTCTGTGCAAACAACTTGTCCCTGAGAATTTAACAGGTATGGGTCACTGTCAAGTGCTTTATATGTTTTAACTCATTGAAATCATATCCTATCCCTAAAAGTTGTGTTATTTTTATTTCTGGGTTACAAATGGGTAGGAACAGCAAGGTTTAATAACTAGCTCAAGGTCACAGGTGTCAAAGGGATGGAGTCAGGATTCCAAGCCAAGTTTCTAGTTTTGAAGCTCCTAGTTTCCAGTTTCACAGAGGAAGAAGTTCTTGAGCCAAAATGTAAGGAATGGGTTTGGGTTTGCCAGGTGAAAAGGTTGGGTGCATTGCAGGGAGGCAAGTAGATGTGCAAAGGCAAAAGATGTGAGAGGTGGGGGTGTATTCCAAAAGCCACCAGAAGTTAAGATAGCTGCAAGAAGGGAAAGTGGAAGGGGAAGGGTGGGCGGGTTTGACCACATTATGCCATGCAAAGGAGCAGGAGTCTAGCCTTTGAAGAACTGTGAGCAGAAATAGGAAGTAGCTAGATTTCAGTTTTAGGAAGGCCATGTTAGGCACTGGAGTAAATAATCCTCATTAGTTTGAAAGACACCCCTTTAGATAAATATGTATTGATTGTTACCCCCAAAAGGTGTTGACATCCTTGACCTTATTCAGAAATAGGTCTGTGCAGATATAATCACGTGAAGATGAGGTTACTGAGATAGGTCCTAATCCAGTATGGCAGATGACCTTGTAACAAGGAGAAAACAGATACACAGGAAGGGTGCCATGTCATGACCAAGACAGAGACTGAGGGATTTTTCCTTAAGCAAGGAACATCAAGCAGAGTTAGGAAGAGACAGGAAGGGATTCTACCCAGAGTCCCAGCGGGAACATGGCCATGCTGTCATCTTGACCTTGGCCCTTAACCTCCAGAACTGTGAGCGATTATACATGTATTTCTGTCATTTTAAGCCACCCGTTTGTGGGACTTTGTTATGGAAGCCCTGCGAAACAAACATTAGCCTTGATTTTTCTAATTGTGTCCACTAACAATATCTGGGAGATACTGGGCTCTGTGCTAAATAGCAAAAGAGAATAAAAGCACACATAGGAGTGTTAATTCTTCACCTGTCCCCGGCAGTATGATGATGTTACACTTTGTTTGGTTCTAGTACATCAGGTTCAATCCAAGGAGAGTAGTAGGCATTTGAAAAATATGAGAAAAGATCCCAAGCCTTAGTTTACTGCAGTGTAAATGCCACATCATTAATTTGAAAGGGAAAAATGGCCACAAGTGAATTTCCTATGCTTCCTTTGTAAACCAAAAGTAAACATTATTTGTCCACTGTTAAAGTTACACAGCAGCATGATTTATTTCTAATCTGGTGTCTATTTTTAAAGGTTACTTCTTAATCTATTAGTTTTTGAAGTTTGGCACTCACCATAAATTAGGTAAGTTTCTTCTTTTTTGATTTTTTTTCTTTGGCAGTAATGGAGTTTGGACTCTGGGCCTAGTGCTTGCTAGGAAGTGCTCTACTCCTTGAGCTGTAACCCAGCCCCCTTTGGCTTTTTAGTTATTTTGGGAAGAGGGTTTTGTGTTTTGGCCTGGGGCTAGCCTCAGACCACAATCCTCCTGTCTTTACCTCCCTGCAGAGTTGGGATTAGTAATGCACCCTGTCTATACCTCTGCAAAGTTGGGATTAGTAAGTAACACACCCTGTCCTATACCTCTGCAGAGTTGGGATTTGTAATGCACCCTGTCTATACCTCCCTGCAGAGTTGGGATTAGTAATGCACCCTGTCTATACCTCCCTGCAGGGTTGTGCACCACCATGCCTGGCTTATTTGTTGAGAGACTTTTTTGGCCAGGCTGACCTGGAACCTCCTGATTTCTGCCTCCTGAGTATCTGGGATTTACAGATGTGAGTCATTGTGCCTGGCCAGTCAGGTGGGTTTCTAAATTGAACTAAGGCTTACAGATTAGATTTGATGAAAGTGTCACCTGATTGACAAGAATGATTTGGGAGCACACAGCGGACTGTGGGGATGTTACAGCAGAGGAAAGGCTCTGAGCCCGAATGAACTGGGAACAGTTACCAAGTTACCAAGACCTACCTACCAAGTATTCAAACCACTAGAAAGAACATGGCACCATTCAGAAGAGCCCATAATAAGATATTTGAAATTAATACTAGCATTTTAGATTGCTTATCGAGCCTATGCGATCTTATTCCTAAGAAGTTTTTCACTTCTGTGGGTTACTCTTTCTAGTGAGTTCATTTTGTTTATGGATTTAGTCTACTTCATTTGGAGTTATGATTTGTAACCTAAAATAGTTATATTTTTAGCGCTTTCATATTCCTGTGTTACCAATTCCCTCTGAGATAATGATCTTTCCTCTTGTTTCAAATAACAGTTTAATACCTGGAAAGATTTGATAATACTTACATTAAACATTAGTATGTTTACGTTAGAATAATGGTTTTTTTAAGTGTTAAAAACTTAGATAACATTTTACGTTGGTGATGGATGAACTTTCTGTATAATACTGTTAGACACAACCAACCAGCAGGTGGCGAGACCTGGCAATAAAACGATTTTTTTTCATACTGAAGAATGATAAAGGAAAACACAGAAACCTTTTGGTCTCTTGATACAGTCTCCATTCCCTGCTTCTTGTTTCTTTCTCTTCCTGGTGCCACCCCTACTGGTAGAATACAAGGAGGCAGACTGGCAAAGGGTGGTCCCTCTGTTCTGAAGAGGTAGAAGCCATCTTGGACAGAGAAAAGTCCATGGTGCATTTGCCTGAAGGTCTCAGATGCAGGTGTGCCAAGATTTGTAGCACAGACCTGTCCTGAGGCTCTCAGTTAGTCAAGATGCCACATAAGGAACTTAGCCTGGCAAAACCCATAACGTGAGGCTGATGGGAGCAAAGGAAAAGTCAGCTTGTCTGTCTCTGGGAAAGGGGAATCCATTTCCTACTGGCTGCCCCCTTTGCAGAAGTACAATTTCTTTTCCAACTCTGTCCTCTCGTTTCTTCACCCAAATGCTGGGTATTAGAAGTGCAAAGGCTTTCAATTCCTCTTAAGTAATTTTAAACAAGTTTCCAAGAAGATCCTTAAGCCATGGTGTTATGAAATCAAAATAATTTCTACTATTTTTACGAGAACACATGTCCCAAGTCAAGCCATACCCAATGTTTACCTCCAGGCCAGAGTGCCTCTCCACACTTCCCGCGAATAAAAGGGGAATCTGTCACAGCCATCAAAAGGGCAGGAAGGAACATCTCCCTTCAATTCTCTCTTACCTGGATAAGAGATTTGTACCAGAGCACCTATTCCTACAGGAAGGAGGGTGGCATGATGACTGATTGAATGTAATAAATAAAAATTATGTGGTACTTTTTTTTTTTTGCTTGAAAGTAGATGCTTTTACACTAGAAATGAGAAAAAATACAGCATCAGAATGTATTTGTATACCTACATAGTACTCATTTGTATTGTTTCTATGACCACAATAGTTCAAGGTTCCTACAGATTTATACCTGAGCACTATTAAGTAAGCTGCTTTTAGTAAACATTGTTTCTTGATGCTTTGTCAAAGGCTCTTAAGAATAGTTATACACATGGAACTTGTTTGTCCTTTTCTCTTACGGGCTATTTATGCTGGTAGCTTTAAAATCTGTCTGCTCGTGCGCACAAAGATGTGTGTGTGTGTGTGTGTGTGTGTGTGTGTTTATCATTTGTGAAGGTGAGGCCTTCTAGGATTGGCTGCTAAGCAAAGGTGGAGACATTTAAAAACGCACCCACCCCAGTGTTGGGATTCTGGGCTTGAAAGTTGCCATACAGCAAGCACTCCTGTATCCAGCCCTCACCCGGTGCCAAAAGTGTTAGGGGCAGAAGATTATTTATCTATTTTAAAGCCTCTGATCTACCCTCCCCGCACCTCTCCACGGCCCACTGAGAGTTAGATCCGGCCTTGATGACCAAGGTGGGTGTTCAGGTTGAAATGAACCGTTCTGCGCACGCGTGTTGTGTGTGGACACCTACGCAGCAACTTGAAAGTAAACACGAAGCTTGGGACTTCCCTGGGCATTCCTTAATCAATGTGCAGCGTGGCTTCTCTTCACTGGGGGGAGGGCAGCGCTGAGGTCCCTCGGCTGCGGGGATCCTGGGTCCTCTCTCGTCGGTGACATAGCAAGTGTCTGCGCACACACCGTGCACATCTACACACTGCACATAGTGTACACACGCGCACGGTTAGAAAGGGACGAAGCGATTCCAGGCCGTCCTTTTGCACAGCGTACCCACCCTACAGCCGCCCGCCGTGTGCTCCGCCGCCCGACCACGTGCGGACTCCGGCGGCCCCGTCCCCCGCGGGCCCCGGCGACCCCCGAGCGCGCGCCAGGCCCCCGCAGGCCCGACAAGGCCCCTCGCACACCCACCGCGCCGCGGCCGCGCGGGAGGCCTGCGCCGCCCGCGCCACCCACCCGGCCGGGCCCTGCGGGCGGAGAGGAGCAGGCGGGTGGCCAGCCCAGGCGCGCCCTGCCCAGCCGCGGCCCTGCGCGCCATGTGTCGCCGGCCGGCCGCGGCGCCTTTAACCGGGAAAGGCAGCGAGGCGGAGGGGGCGGTCGGGCGGCTCAGAGGAGGGATCTTTCTTTCTTCTTTTTTTGAATGAACAGTGACGTACGTACAGGAAACCAGGCGGTTTGTGCGGAGAATGAAGTAAGAGGCCGGACCCCCCCACCCCCGCCCCGTGCCCGCCCCCTTCCTCCCCGCCCCCTCCCCGCCCGCGCGCCCGCCCGCCCGCCGTGCTCCCGCCGCCGCTCCCGGGGTCCCCACCAAAGCCGCCACCGCCGCTGCCCGCGAAGGTGCCCGGGCGCTGGCCCTGCCCGCCCGCCCGCCCGCGACCGTCACCGCTCGGGGCGGGCTGCGCAGCGGGAGCTCCAAGAGGCGGCAGCCGCCAGCGCCGCCAGCGCCGCCGCGCAGAAGCAGGAGGAGGAGAAAGGGTGCACTGCTCGGAGGCGGGGTGCGCTGGTGGGGTGCAGCGGAAGAAGGGGTCCAGGGGGGAGAACTTCGTAGTCATCCTTTTTAGGAAAAGAGGGGGAAAAATAAAACCCTCCCCGCCCTCCCCCTCCCTCTCCCTCGCCGCACCACACACAGCGCGCGGGCTTCTCGCGCTCGGCACCGGCGGGCCGGGCGCGTCCTGCCTTCATTTATCAAGCAGCTTTTCGGAAAATGCATTTGCCGTTCGGAGTTCCATCAGAAGAGGATTCCTGTCCCCGTTCCCGGCTCTTCACCGTCCCCCACCCGTGTCTCTGTTGCGTGGAGGCACGAAGCGGTCCCGTGGCTAGAGATCCATGTCTGTGCCCGCGCGTGTGTGCGCGCGTGTAAATTGCCGAGAGGGGGGAAATCACAGGAGTTCTGCAAATGCCGGATTGTAATTCATCTGCCGCCGCCGCTGCCTTTTGCTCTCCTGCTCTTGAGATCTCTGGTTGGGATTCCTACGGATTGACATTTCTGTGAAGCAGAAGTCTGGGAATCAATCTGGAAATCCTCCTCGTTTTTCCCCTCCCCGCCCCCCCAACTCCTGATTCATTTGGAAGTTTCAAAGCAGCTATCAACGGAGAGTTCTGAAGATGGATGGGATCGTTGCCTTATGCATTTGTTTTGGTTTTGCAAAAGAAACTTGACAGAGGATCGTGCTGTCCTTTAAAAAATACAAGTAAGTTCTTTGCACAGGAAATCGGTTTAATGTAACTTTCAGCGGACACATTTGAAAATTTTGACTTTTAAGTGCATCCGAGTAAATTTAAGTTCCAGGCAGTTTGATATTCTTTTTTTAAAACGTGTAACTCGTAGTGTGTATACCCTTCTTTCACTCAGTGTATTAAGGAAAATGCACCTGATTTTAACTTACTAGATCTTTTTTCTCTCTTTCTTGTCACCTTTCAGCAACACGGAGGAAGTAGACTGATATTAACAGTACTTAATAATGTGCCTCATGAAATAAAGATCCGAAAGGAATTTGAATAAAAATTTCCTGCATTTCATGCCAAGGGGGAAACACCAGAATCAAGTGTTCCGCGTGACTGAAGACACCCCCTCATCCAAGAATGCAAAGCACATCCAATAAAATAGCTGGATTATAATTATTCTTTTTTTTTCTTTCGGGGCCGTGGGGTGGGAAGCGGGGACGAGAGGTGCTGTTGGTACCCAGCTGCTTTTCCTCGGGGGAAGGATGGCGCAAGCTGGGAGAACAGGGTATGATAACCGGGAGATAGTGATGAAATACATCCACTATAAGCTGTCACAGAGGGGCTACGAGTGGGATGCCGGAGACGTGGGCGCCGCGCCCCCGGAGGCCACCCCAGCGCCGGGCATCTTCTCCTTCCAGCCCGGGAGCAACCCCCTGCCCGCTGCGCCCCGGGACCGGGCCGCCAGGACCACGTCGCTGCCGCCCCCGGTCGCCCCCGCCGCCCGCGCCGGGCCTGCGCTCAGCCCAGTACCACCTGTGGTCCACCTGACCCTCCGCCAGGCTGGCGATGACTTCTCCCGGCGCTACCGCCGCGACTTCGCCGAGATGTCCAGCCAGCTGCACCTGACGCCCTTCACCGCGAGGGGACGCTTTGCCACGGTGGTGGAGGAGCTCTTCAGGGATGGGGTGAACTGGGGGAGGATTGTGGCCTTCTTTGAGTTCGGTGGGGTCATGTGTGTGGAGAGCGTCAACCGGGAGATGTCGCCTCTGGTGGACAACATCGCCTTGTGGATGATTGAGTACCTGAACCGGCACCTGCACACCTGGATCCAGGATAACGGAGGCTGGGTAGGTGTATGCCTAGTTGAATGAACCTGGGCTTACGGTCTCGCGTGTTTGATGCCGTGGTTGGGGTGTGTGTTTGTGTGTGTGGACCCTTGGGCTCAAGAGGATGCAATTCGGTCCTGTTGAGCCAGTGAAATAAAATCAAGTTTGTAGCTTTTCTGCTTCCCTCCCACTTCCTCTGGATCGAGCGCATCCCCGCCAACTCTGATGTGGTAATTCCTTCCTGCTAAAAGTGTTGAATTTGCTTGCCAAGCTGTGGAAGTTCAAAGATCAAGCATTTTCAATCCAGTAGAATTTTGTGATAAATGGTATCCCTTCAGTGTTTCTCAGCTTACTTGATCTGAGTAGCTTGTTGAAATGGAGATTTCAGGGAGAACTTATGAACCAGATCTCCAGGGTTGAATCTTGTCTGTGCACCTTAAGCTCCCCTAGTGGATTCTTCTGAAAATTTCCCAATTAGAGGATCAGACTCCACTCGAGGACCAAGGGATGCCTTTTTTGACTCACTTGGTAAAAATTTTCCCAAAGAAGAAAAGCAATATAACTCCTGTCCCTGGAAAACTTAGCAATGTTTGTAAAGAGGTTAAGTTGTCATTGAAGTTCCCGGAATCTAATCTACAGTGTGCCATATTCCCAGTGGGCTTGATGGTCTGTGCGGTTTACAGAATACTAGGCTAGGGCTGCCTTACTCCATCTCATCAGTGAACAGCTTTGCATTGGCTACATACTTTGTGTTCTATAACTAGTGGCATTTGAGCATCTTTTACTTTTCCCCACTTAGAATCTGTAATTTTGTGATTTTCTCTGCTAAAAAAATAGAAAAAGAAAAACCTTGCATCTAGAGTATCTATGTAAGGAGAAGTCATTCCTAACTGTGGCTTCTCTTCAGTTGAAATGACTGATAGCTGTAGCTTTGAAGCCCATTGGTGAAGTGATTGGTTTCTGGCACTGTGCTAGATAGAACTTGCATCATTTTACCACACAGTTCTACTTTTCTGCACAAGGGCATGGGGGTGGGGGCAGCTCCTAAGACTTGGAGTTTGTCATTAAGATCTACATCTTGTATCTAAAATGATTAATTTATGAAAAAGTAATGATTCTTGTCAGAAGTTTAAAAAAAAAAAACTTGTTTTAATCAGAAGAGTTGTCTTTGGAAAAAGATGCAATTCGGTCCTGTCCCTTATAGTGACAGAAGAATGACTAATATTATCTTACAGGACTGAACAGGAGCAGAAAATGTAGAATTGACTGCACGTGGATTAAATATCAAGAACCATGTTACATGCTTTTACTACAGTTTACAAGATGTACTGATATTCAGGGACCCAAAAGAGAAAAGGCCAAGAAAAGTAGATGATTGCTGTGAACATCTGATATTATTTGACCAAAGCTGACAAAATATTGATGCCACTGTTCAATGTTTAAAAGTAAAATTAGCTAAAATATCCCAATTTAAATCTCTAAAATTCCAACACTCTTTGTCAATTGTTTGCTTATTGAAATCTCACATTATCAGACCTTTAGTAATTCTAGAAGAATTTGCTAAAGGATGAAAAATGTTTTTGTTAAAAGTTTTGTTAAGTAGGTGGTTTGTTTTTTAGCCACTGCATCCAAAGAGGCTTCCAGACTCCAGAAGGATAATTTTAAAGCCAAAGTAAAATGAATTTAATAGCTTTACTATTTCATATTTTTATGCAAAAATATTTAAAGTTTTTCTTTCTAGTTGAAAGAAATCCAAGGCAGCAAACTGCCATCTATCAAGTTAATAAAAAGGTGGGAAACAGGGCCATATGTTTACGATAGAAATTTAGATATAACCTTGGCTTTGAGTTGAGTTGAGTATGTTAACATCTCATACAGCTGAAGTTTCTTTTTAAATGAAGCATCGCTTTTTCTCTGTTCACAATCGGGTTTTCGTTGGAGAACCTAACTTTGTGGTCAACAGGTATCTGGGGTTCATAAATGTACAGGCTATATTTTAATGATGCCAAACCACAATGACATACTGTAGAACATGATAAAAAAATTTTTGACAAAGCCTCTAACAGTAAAAATAAATCATACAGAACCACAAGTGACTGATGGTAAAATGTGTAATAGTTTTCAGAACAACACATAGATGGATGACTACATAGGACAACAAAGGAATTTAGCAAAAAAAAAAAGTATGTATCAGGAAATGCATTCATATGTGGACAGTTTATATTCTAAAGTGGTCATACTTGCAATTTATAAATAATTTGCCTATCATTTCAAATGTGTGTCTCTAATCTAAGTTTTTATCTTAGGCAGCTGGCATACAGACAGATTTTCCTCTAGATTTATACAAGTCAGGGTTGCATCTCCAATAGTATGCTGCATCTTGCACTGTAGGTTTGACAACCATGAGAAACCTTCAGAAGAGAGCTAGCATATTTTCTTGCAATATGAGAAAATGGTGTGTGTTATTTCCAGAGCTGATGGGTCAGCTCATCTGTGGAACACTACTATACTTGAGGGTTTAAAACTAAAGTCACTGTTTCTTTTCTTCTGCAAAAGTCAGAAGAAACTTTCTGAGACCAAGGGAAACTGTTTGCGTTCTGTGTTTCATGGAGAAAGCAGTCTGTGGAATGAAAGAAGGTTCCTGAAGCCCTAAATAAAGATTAAAGAAGTAATTGGGTGTAGAATGGGTGTGGCTTTGTTCCTAAGTCTGAATGAGGCATTGTGTAGCATCCAGAGAAAGGCAGGAAAGAGGGAACAGTGAGAGAGCAACTGTTCTAGAAAATGCCTAAGACTTTGGGGCCAAAGTGCTGCTCTAGACTAGCAGCCCAAGCATGGCTGGGAGCTTCTCGGAGGTGCAGAATCTCAGGCCTCAACCCCAGTGCTACTGAGTCAGAATCTGGTTTGTGTACACATTAAATCTATAAGTTTGTGGCTACTATACTTGACTGGCAGAGGTGGGGAGGCGTCTTTTAGGACGATTGTAGGATAATTCTGAAGTGGATTCTGCAGGGCCTCTTTCCAGTGACCTCCAGGTTCCAGAGTATTACCTGGAATACTGGCTTTCCCAGATGCCCACTAGAGTGCTCTGACCCTAGGATAAAGTAGAATGCAATAAAGGAGAGAGAGGAATCCAGTCTTGTCATGAATGTTTTTCATGGTAGTTATACAGTTGGTATTGATATCACTGGTCCCATTAAAGTAAGATAGTTTTCCTACTTCAATTTAAGTCAAGAGATTTGCTCTTTTAGTGACTGTATTAGTTACTATTTTATCCCCCTCAAAACCCAGTTTAAGTTCTGTAAAAGAGTTTAATGACTTTGTGATTGCTTTGAGATAAAGGACTCTTGAGAGATGAGCAAGTTGATGGCGAATGAAACTTGTTAGCACCCTCCAAACTGAGAAGCCTGATGACATTCAGATTCCTCTGGCAGAAGGGAGTGAGATAAGACTGTTAGAGGAGTAAGATGCTTGAAGCCATGGAATGTCAGAGATCAGCTTCATTCTGTTGATGAGATAGTTCAATTTTTTTTTTTTTTTTTTTTTTGGTCTTTCAGTGTTGGTGGTTTTGGGAAGATAGGAACTTACTTCTCTACACCAAGTGGAGGTCAGCTTCCTTTTTATTGGGTAGTCAGCAAGCAGTTTCTATTTTCTGAATACAGCTCACATCCAGCAAAACATATGATTAACTGAAAAGCAGTACCATTCTCATGCCAGTGTGAAAGAGCTTCATTTTTGTAGTGGTGGAGTATCAGCTGTTTATGGCCAATTTTGGCAGCAAAATGACAGAATTAAAAATAGCATTTGGATGAGCCAGTCTTAAATAATCCATTTAATGATGAACTTTCCTTGGGAAAGTGCATTTTTCTGCCTGCTAAGAATCACATGACCTCTTTCAATAATTTATTTTGTAGAAAAATGCATTATTGCTTAGAGTTTTCAGTCATGTGCTATTGAGTGATTGTATTTCTGGATCTTTATAAAATTTTTTAGTTCACTCAGTTCTCTTTTCTGCTTTAGGGCTTTTGTTGCATTGAAAGCATTCTTTTGTGCATCCTGTTATGATTAGTTGTGCTTTCTAGTGAGAACAGATTGCTCTTGTTAGAAATCCTTGATGAAACAGGTACATGTCAGGCTGCTTAAATGTCATTAGGCCACACATACCATACCAGGTAACAGAAAGCCACAGGTTTTTTGTTTGTTTGTTGATAGCAAGCCAAATTCTTACCATTTTTTTCTTATGCCTTCTCTTAGTCTTATTCTGCTTTTTGGAGGAATGACAAACCCACTCATGAAAAAGTGTGTGGGTGCTTCGTGTGCGAATAGGTGTGTCTCCCACACAGCATGCCTCCCCACCTGCTTTGAAGGTCACTCATCTTGCCTTAGCAGTCAATTAGCAAAGCAGTATTTGCATTTGTGCTAGAAAAGAACACTGTCTTTGTAGTTACAAGTAACAAGTTTTCTTTTCCCCCAGAGATATATTATATTTGAGGTTCAGACGTTCTGTTAACCTTTTTAAAGTAATGTGATCCCACCTTACTCAGGTACGTGACAGTAACTCCCAACCTGGCCACCTTGGCACCCAGCTACATATAGAGACCACTCAATGAATTCACGTCCTTATGAAGTTTCTCTTTCATTCCTCTTGGTTTGATTCAAACAATGTGAGCACTTGATGTCTAAATAGAACTCATGATGAAAATCATTCAAGAACTGAAATTTATCTGGCAGACAAGATGGCAAGTCTTACACGTGTCAGGCTCCGGATTAGGGCGGGGGCATGGGCAGGCCAGCTTGCTTCTGGCCTGGCTGAGCTCACAGGCTGGGATTTTAGGATTTTTCACAAACTCATAGTTACCAGACAGCCTTACAAGTATGATCCTGGACTCCAAAATTCAGAAGGAGAAAGAAAACAATGAAGTGTATGTTATTTTGCATGCACGTCAATCTTTGTCTAAAAAAGTTCTTTCTAACTGTATGGCTGTTCGTGTGTGCATTAGGCCTGATTTAAATAAGGGGTGACA